TTATTCTAACAAGTACCATCTGTGTACAAGTGAACACTCACTCCATACCGCCTTATTCTAACAAGTACCATCTGTGTACAAGTGAACACTCACTCCATACCACCTTATTCTAACAAGTACCATCTGTGTATAAGTGAACACTCACTCCATACCACCTTATTCTAACAAGTACCATCTGTGTATAAGTGAACACTCACTCCATACCACCTTATTCTAACAAGTACCATCTGTGTACAAGTGAACACTCACTCCATACCACCTTATTCTAACAAGTACCATCTGTGTATAAGTGAACACTCACTCCATACCGCCTTATTCTAACAAGTACCATCTGTGTAAAAGTGAACACTCACTCCATACCACCTTATTCTAACAAGTACCATCTGTGTACAAGTGAACACTCACTCCATACCGCCTTATTCTAACAAGTACCATCTGTGTACAAGTGAACACTCACTCCATACCACCTTATTCTAACAAGTACCATCTGTGTATAAGTGAACACTCACTCCATACCACCTTATTCTAACAAGTACCATCTGTGTAGAAGTGAACACTCAGTCCATACTACCTTAGTCTAACAAGTATCATCTGTGTACAAGTGAACACTCACTCCATACCACCTTATTCTAACAAGTACCATCTGTGTAAAAGTGAACACTCACTCCATACCACCTTATTCTAACAAGTACCATCTGTGTACAAGTGAACACTCACTCCATACCATCTTATTCTAACAAGTACCATCTGTGTATCAGCGAACACTCAGTCCATACCACCTTATTCTAACAAGTACCATCTGTGTACAAGTGAACACTCACTCCATACCGCCTTATTCTAACAAGTACCATCTGTGTATCAGCGAACACTCAGTCCATACCACCTTATTCTAACAAGTACCATCTGTGTAGCAGTGAACACTCACTCCATACCACCTTATTCTAACAAGTACCATCTGTGTAGCAGTGAACACTCACTCCATACCACCTTATTCTAACAAGTACCATCTGTGTAGAAGTGTACACTCACTCCATACCACCTTAGTCTAACAAGTACCATCTGTGTACAAGTGAACACTCACTCCATACCCTGCAGCACCCTACACAGCGGTAGAGGGAACCAGCCTGAGGAACAACCCCCAGACTCCCCCCACACACTGGCACCTTCCTGTAAGGGACGTATGGAGCCATCTGAGGACTATTGCAGACAATCCACAGATGAGCCACATGCACTGCGATGAACACACCACGTCCACCGTGCCACACGCTGCACAGACACAAAGCGAACCAAGATGTAGCGGCTCTTCTGACCTCTCACTGTCAGGGTTATCGTTCAGTACTCAAACTCGAGCTGTCTTGGAGCCACTTCTCTTCTGAAATCCTGACGGGGGTGCGTCGTGAGGACCGCGGATAGCAAGGCGATCCTCCAGTTGCATTGCGACCGCTATCTCAACAACCTCGCCCACGAAGGAATGGTTAGAGACGGCTCTGTAGTTAGCGCGACTGTTAAGAGGCAGCTCTATAGTGAGCGGAACAGTTCGCGTAGAGAAAATGTTGCTTACGGAGAGCAGTGCATCGAAATATTGTAGATAGCAAGCCCGCAGAAGGAGACATCACAGATCCATTTATGAGATTATTTTTTTAAATATCAAGGCCATTTAAACCTGCTGACCAGCATCTGACCTTTATATAACATTTGTATTTATCTATCCAGGAAAGCCACACTGAGTCACTGGACGTTTCGTGACTGAGGGTTCTTACTTGAAGATGGTTTCAGCAAATCAATGACGAGCGTGTATGCGTTGTGGGAGGAAACTGGAGCACCCACGTGCGTGAGGGAGCAACGCTCTATCCCCGTGAAAAAATGAAACGGATGGCGATGAGTCCGTTAGCTGTGCTGCCCTCTCCTGGCGGGCCAGGGTACAGCACCTCAATGTCCACGCCACGTGGATCCAGCAACCCTCGCCGCCTCCGCAGAGCCAGAGTGCCGGCCACGTGCACAGCCACCGCCGCCAATGCGGTCTCATGGACCACAGCAATCTGGACAGCCGACTGGCTGCTTACACTTCATATGGTCAAATGAGGATGTTTTCATCACCGAAATTCGTGTTTTCTTCAACTTCTCCCTTTGACTTCTCTCTCGATACTGAACGCCATTGTTACGTCGCCTTTATTTTTTCCAATTCTTTGCATATTTGCGCAAAAACAACCCCGTTATGATGGAATAATCTCGGATCATTTTTAATGCTTTCCCTTGCCCAAACATTGCCATCACTTTCACGTGGTTCCCACGCTGGCATTCAATGTCCAATGCTGCTGAGCCTCCCCACCTTCAACAACAACCACCGCAGCTCTGCTCACAAGGAGCCATCGCAGAATGCCTACGCAGCTACCATCATCATCATCTTCTCCATCACTACTGCAAACACCTTTGCTTCTTCCTCTGCGATATGTCCACCTAGGGTTGCCACGGGGCGTCCTCTGTTGGGACTGAGAATCTGGTGTTAACAAAACTAAAACTATGTTTTATTTTGCTGGGTAAGGCCCACCGAGCAATACAGCTCTCATTTCAGAAGCGAACCGGACCACAAACGATAGCCCAACGAAGTGGCTTATCACGTGTAAATTTACAGCGGCCAAATATTCTAACCGGCATGGAGGCCTGTAGTCTTACACAGCGACCCACAGACGACCGACTCGTATCGATGCTGTGGTGTAGCGTGCTCCGACAGGGCTGAGAAGCTGGTGTTAACATCCGCACCCCTGAGAGACACACGCGGACGGTGGAAATGGCCAAGAGGGCAAAGCGCTGCACTTTTCTGCGCACGCCACGACAAAGATAAGTTTGTTGCTTGGAAGTCTAAACCGGTGTGTTTAATTCTCAGAGGGGCAATGTTGGCAAATTATGGGAAAATAAAATGAAACAAGACGCTTCTCTTCGCGCAGTCATTTGGCAATCGAGCCGAGACAACTCGCGACGTTTTAGAACTCGGTTTAAATCACAGACGGCTAACCGACTCCGACCCAGAATCTCACGGTTTGCTGACTCAGCGCCCCAATATCCCCGGTGCTGCCCGGTGACCTCAACACGTCGCAAGAGTCCCCAACGCGCAGCATTGCTCCGTAGGGGCGGCGGCCCAAACGCCGGCTCGGCTGATTTGAACCTTCATTCACTGGCATACCGGAGCCGAGGCAGCGCAGGAGCCCCCCACATGGCATGGGCAATTCCCGTCGTTTTCTGTGCCGGGCCGGAGTCCAGGAGTGCTAAGATGGCCTCATAAGACATCTGAATCTGGCTCGAGGCAAAGCAAGGCCAGCCCTCACGAGGTTTTTCAACGGAAGCGACGCGAGTCGGCGCGCTGCGGAGGAAGGCAGCGTTAGCGCGTAATCGGCGTCAGCGGCACGGCTCAGCAGCTGCGGCGGAAAGACTCCCGAGCCGCGCCGGGGCTGGCTCGGCCCCGGCTCGTTCGTAGCGTGGATGCGAGCTGCGAGAGATGACCGCCATCACGGATTGGTCAAAGTTGTTGCCGGGCAGCCACGGCGAAAGGAACGCCCGGATTGGACACCGGGGCACGTGGCACGACGCCCATCGTTAATGCCGGGCGTGGGTAGCTCTGGCGTGAACGGAGCGCCCCTCTGCTTTTGCAACATGGATTCTGCACCAGATATTCCAAACGTTGACATTCCTATCAATATTATCCAGAGCAGCAGCGGCTGATGGGAGGGATGGGAGAAGTGCTCCGGCGTTGTGCACGCTCACAGATTGTCAATTTCGATGTCGATCCAAGCCAAATGAGGAGAGGTTTACTGCAGGGCAATAGGAGAGGTCAAGGCAAAGGGGAAGTGCTCGTAAGAGAAGCGGCCCAAATATCTGCACGACACAATTTTGAACTACCCCCTTTGCAAGGTCAATTATTTGTTCAAGGCAAGCGTTAGGTATCAGCAGAGCGAGCCATGCCCCGAATAAATCGAATGCGGCAAATGGTACCTGCTTTTGCAGGCACGATTGACTCCTGTGCTTTAACCCGTTACAAGAGTGAATACGAATACGATGAATACGAAAGCCATAAAATTCGTAACCTCCTGCACTTGCGCCGACATTCAACGCTGCGAACTTTCTTTCGAGTTTCCGCCGAGGCAAAGCAAGGTCCAGCCCTCACGAGGTTTCTCAACGCAAGCGACGTGAGTCGGCGCGCAGTGTGGGGGGAGGCAACGTTAGCGCGTAATCGACGTCAGCGGCACGGCTCAGCAGCTCCGGCGGAAAGACGAGGCAAAGAAAGGGGAAATGTCACCGGAACGTACAAATATTCACACGGAGCAGGACGACTCTCAATCATCCCTATCCCGATGTGCCTGCAACGCACGCTTGAGTTCAACTTGTACACGGTGCGCCACCTTGCAGGGGCGTAACGAGTCACGGCTTCATCAACCAGAGGAGAGTTTCCACTCCGACCACGCTTCGACGGTGAGGCCGCTCCATCCCTCCGTGACTTGGGCCGTGCTGTAACTCTGGTCGGCTCTCCTCTCGGCCGAGTTTTAAACACCTCCATGTCCATCTCCAGTCTCCGTCTACCTCTGTTGCTTTGTCCCCATTCACTTCGCACAGCAGCAAAGGCTTCTCCACGACCCTCCACCACAACCCCCACCGCTCCAGCGGACCACCGCTCGTTATTACTCAGCTGGTAAGCCGCAAAGAATTGATAAGTGTCGCTGGTTACATGCCCGGTTTCTTGTGGTCGTGTAAAAACATGCCTTTGATTTTGTGTTGAGTGGCTTTAAATACATGTATTAAAATGCCCCCGTGTGGGGTTTATAGCCCGTAGCAGCCATACCGTGTGTAGTCCGTTGACTCCCGTGTGCCCTGCCGTTAAAATCATTTATCATAAATGCAGCCTCTTTCCGACACCGCTGTCTTCGCAACTTTAAAAAACAAAGCACCGGCAACAACCCTCGGCATCGCATCACAAAGTCGAACAGATCAAAGAACGGCGTTGCATTCACCTGCTTGGGGTCGGCACAGGGCAGAGGCGACTCGATCTGGATGGTGACTGGGCCATCGTTCTCAATGTGCACACTCATGAGTGCTCCGAACTTGCCATCTGCGACACACACAAAGACACCCCACCCCCCGTGTAGGTTTAGCGGAATGAAGGCCGGCGCTGGGACGCACGAGGGGGTGGGTGGCCAGCACCACGCCCGGCCGACTTTGTCTCCCGAGTGGCGATGATTGCACACATAACCAGGTATTCATTTGAGGCTGAGTCGACCTAGGGGAGGCACAGGACCGGTTCAGATAAACGTCACCGTTGTTGGCCGTGAGCGGGAATGGAAATTGGGTCGCCAAGTTCGTAGCGCAGCGTAGGGCTCACCGCTACACTACCGCTCCGAGCACACACACATGCACACACACATGCACACACACACACGCACACACACGCACGCACACACACACACGCATACACACATGCACACACACACATGCACACACACACATGCACACACACACGCACACACACACGCCATAGTCACGTGAACACCGACCACGGCCTCCGTGGGTGCAGTCCAGCAATGCCCCTTGCTCATCCCTGCGCTTGACAGCGCTGCACTGTAATGCACTCTACGGCCCGTAGCCATTCCACTGCTGGACGAAGGCCACCCAACGCCGCGTCGGTCGCTGGGACCGTTCGACCATACTTCACCACGCCGGTGGGCGCAGGTTGGGGAAGGGGAACACCACGGCGCAGCTTTATGACGGAGAAGCGGGAAGCTCATCCCGCACCTCCGATTCACGCAGTTGGCCACGTACGGTGCGAAAGAAGTTTAACGTGCACGCACGCATCCCGCTGGTCGTCGTCGCACTGTTTAACACCAGGAAACATTTAGCAATTGGCTGGCGTGTCAGGGCGAATGGCCCCGCTCCAGAGCGAAGGGATTCACAGCACGTCCAAGCCACGTTATCTTCGCGATGAACACGGCCCACAAACGGCTCTCCCAGCCTTACGTCTTGAGGCTGTGCTGCAAAAGTGGAGGCTTTGATTCTGCGGCAAATTGACTTCGCGATTATTCCAGCTAGCAAAGTCAACGAAAGTTGGAGTAACGGAGAGACAATGTAAGGCAGAGAGAGAGAGAGATGGAGACGGTGGGTGGGGGACAGGTGTCAGAGAATCACACGTGCAGACATCGACAGACTCAACAAGTCAGAGAGGAAAACAAAGAGAGACAGAGCGAGACAAAGAGATATCGAAAAACAGAGGGAAACAGAGAGACAGAAACAAAGAGACAGCATAAAGAGGGAGGGGGAGACAGAGAGATCCCAAGAAGGCACGGCGACAGATAAGGAAAGCAAAGAAGGGATTGAGAGAGACACAGGGAAACGTGAAGGTTTATTTATAATACGATGCATGATAAATGATGTCTAACTCGTAATTCCATTTCACCAGTATTCCTAATTAAGGTATTTAGTACTGCGCCGAATAGTTAATGCGAGCAGATTTGGTGCACTCCACCTAAACATAGAACATTTTTCATTCAAAGCGAAATTACGTCGCGGCAAAAGTGACACCGTGCAAGTAGAGAGTGAAAACAGAGAACCACGAGAGACGACGACGACCTTCAAAGTGACCGCGGTACGTGGACAGCCAAAAGCAGAAGAAGTCACTGGAAGTGAAGCTCCCATCAATCAACGACAGGCAAACTCCGGCACCTCTGGTTAGCACGGTCGGCTACGTACATGTGCGAAAGAATCTCAACATGCATATCCATAGAAATACAAGTATTTTTTTTGTATATATACGCTTGAAAACAGATTAATATTTTTGTGTGGAATCCCTTTGCGTAGGCGTCAGGATCCTCGTCGTTGGAGCGTTCTCATCCAAGAACCCCAAGCACGGATCGATTTCCATATAACTAGACGAGCATTTCATCGGTTCAACTACCTCCGGATCTCTCCCCGGCGAAAGAGGCGAGGCGTGAGAGTAACCGCGCTGCCGGAGACGCTTCAGAATTGTGTCTTTGTACGGCGCCTGCCGGGCATTAAATCCAGCCGAGGGATGAGCAACGAGGCTCCTCCGTGATGCCAAAATGTCTTCAAATTCCATCTGATGGTGGCTCCTCACTATCAGACGGCGAGTGAACGATGAACAACTCGGGGAGTGAACGATGAACAACTGGGAAAGTGAACGGTGAACAACTCGGGGAGTGAACAATGAACGACGCGGAGAGTGAACGATGAACAATGAGCGACACGGAGAGTGAACAATGAGCGACGCGGAGAGTGAACAATGAATGACGCAGAGAGTGAACGATGAACGATGAACGACGCGGAGAGTGAGCAGTGAACGACATGGAGAGTGAACGATTAGGGGAGTGAACGATGAACGACGTGGGGAGTGAACGAAGTGACTTTGCCACAAATAACAGCTCAACGAAGCGGCTTATCACGTGGAAATTTAACGCAGCCAAATACTCTAAACGCACGAGTCTAAATATGGAGGGAAGAACCGGAGGACCCGGAGAAAAATCCACACTACCAAGGGGAGAGAGAGACATGCAAACTCCCAATATACAGCAGCAGGCGTCAGGGTCGGGACTAAACCCACGACCTCCTGCATACCACGCGAGGTAGTTAACATCTTGCCACTGCGGCACCCATATTAGTTTATAGTTTACACATACTAGTCTACACCAAGCAATTATACTGCATTGCTTCGGCATGACACGGTAAATTCACAATAATGCTTTTGTTGGTCGTTAGTTCAAGAAAGCACGGAATAAATGTGACCATCTAACCTCTAAGCAATGCGGCCAGGGTTGAACTGTGTTTCTTTTATCTAAGCGATACATTGAATTACACGAGAGCCCACTTTTACTGAGAGTGCGCAGTGGGTACCACGAGTAACATCGGAGACTGAGGCTGGGGAAAATCCCAATGGAGCACGTGGACTCGAACGCTGACACGCCATGGCCCACACCGCCAGAGGGCTGTGACGCACACGTCGCGACTCGAGAGGGAGTCAGCCGGCGCCTGGAGGGGGCGATGATGTACGTACGTACGTTGAACTTCTTACGCACCGTACGTAACCACCCGTGCTAATCGGAGGTTGCAGGATAAGGACAACAAACTAAACACAAGAAGCAGTTCTAAAGGAGTGAGATTTAAATTTACATGATGAATTAAAAGTTCACAGCTCCAGTGGCTTCCTAACATCGGAAGGAAGAGCGTTCCAGACGGCCGCAGAAGCGCATCTGAAAGCGCCGCGCGATGCGGTGACCGCCGTTTTTGTTCGACGACTGAGCCACAATCCGCTGCGAGGGTGACCGGAGCTTGCTTGACGATGGTTTACGCTCCTTGACGAGATCGGCGAGGCATTGTCGTTAATTTGTAACAAGCGCCTTGTGAGTAACGATCGCGAGCTCATAACGTGTCCGTTCAGCAACCGGAAGCGGACGCAGATCGGCGAGCCCTCGACAGACATGGTCGGATCTTGCAGTGCCCGTCACGGCACCGCTGTGTGCGAGTGTCTGTGTACAATAATCCCTGTTCAGTCGTTCTTGGAGAATTTTCACATTTGGCAAAATGTCGACCCCCACGGCAGCACACGAAGGCCTCCTCCTGCGAAATGCGGCACGTTGCCATGGTTGCGACACCCGCAATAAATAACAGTGTACAGTTAAACAGTGAATTTATAAACGTATAAATTAGAGCTACTTAATGGCTTGGATTAGCCAAAAATTGGGGGCAGGTTAATAGTTCCGCCATTCAATTTCACGTTTTAACACTCTAGGGGTGTTTTGTGAAATCACTTAACTTCGTAATAAGCGCAGAATATTAATATTCTACATCTTAAAATTCTTATTATTATTTTAATTCCATCCGCACGAAAGGCTAATTCGTGCTTATTTCCTTGTTGTGAGGTAAGGAAAACTCTGCTCGGAATCACAACATGCTCGGTCCGTTGTGCACACACTCCGTATCACCGGCCATCTACGTCCACGTTCTGCTACTTATCAGCGGACACATTGCCCAAGGGGGCAAACCACTCAAATCTATCGGCCGCGGTTTATTGCGGAGTGTGGGCGACAGATTTCTACGATGCCATTTTGAGTGGGTTACATTACGGCGCTCACGTTATTTCTCAAAATCGTCGCTTGCCCCCCGTTTAGAGAACACGATGCCACATTTTGCTTTTGTAAAGTGCTCATAATGCAGACCATTCAAGGGTGCTTTACTTGAAAACAATGCCCATAACAATAAAAATAATAGCGCAATGCCAACTTGTAGAATGGCACTGCCATCACCGGCACACAGCATTCGCTCATCGCTGTCTTGCATGGAGAGAGAGGGTGAGGGGAGGACGACTCGGAGGCACCAGGAGGAGGAGGAACCACATACGAGGAGCGGGGGAGGCAGCAGGGAGGCAGTTTGCCGCCACGAACACTCTAAAAAGACAGCGCTCCTTCGCATTTTCACGCAATATCTGCGTGCAAAATATATCTTAAGATTCCGCAAAGGTACGCCGGTGTTATACACGCCGAAGTTGGGCAAAAGGCTTAAGAGGATATCAAATCATAAAGCACGTGCAACAAAAAGACCATGGCCAAGTCGTGCGTGCACACGATCTCGTCAGATCTGGGTTAAGGCTGGTCGGTGCATGCACGGCGAATCACCAAGCACAAGCAGGTCGCCGGGGGCCTTGCGGGGGCAGTGCAGCGACATCCAGAAACGTGCGCCGTCGTTTCAACTGGTGCATCACGGGAGCGCGGCGTGGGAGTCATTCCACCGCATCGGCATCTCTCACATTTTACGGACGTGGGGCCAAATTTACGTAGCGGTGCAAAGCCATCACACTGTCTCCCTTTGGCCGAGCGACAGACGCATTCGTGAGAAACTACGGCCGAAACATTTCCTGTTATTCACTCAAAGCTGCCAGTACCTGTGGACCGCGTCCCTCCGCGCGTGCCTTCTGCGCGGAGGGACGGTCCACAATTGCCAGGGCCAGGCAGCGGCCAGCGACAATGCGTGAAATGGGTCCGCAAGCGACGGCCTGCGACCGCACAGTGAGGCCTGTGCGGAAGACCCTCCGAGGAACGTTACATTATTTATCAGGTCATCCGGGGTTGTTCCTTCCGCTTGCAAGGTGTGGCAGAAAATTCACAGCTAGCCAGCCCCCCTCTTCTTTACCCTCCGAAAGATTGGCCTGCTCCAGCGGCATTGCCCCACGTTGCATGTTTTATGGCGATGCGCATACGTGAATCCGGAGTACGCGGTAATGTATGCTGCATGCAAATCAAGGTGTGCTTGCCATTCTGCAAGCTCCAAACCTCTTTAAGTAAATTCAGCTACAGCCGCTCTCTCTCTCGCACGGAGACAAAGGTCCCCGTATAACCTGAAAAGACTGTTTCTAAATAAGGAGGGAAGAACCGGAACACCTGGAGTAAAATCCACACTACCACGGGGAGAACATGCAAACTCCCAAGAAGGGACCTGGCTATCACACATGATAGCTCAACGAAGTGGGTGATGGTGTGGAAATTTATCGCTGCAAAATACTCTAAATGCATGTTTCTAAATATGGAGGGAAAAACCGGCGGACCCAGAGAAAAATCCACACTACCAAGAGGAGGGTGAGAGATATACAAACTCCCAATATACAGCAGGCGTCAGGGTCGGGATAAAACCCACGACCTCCTGTGTACCAGGCGAGGTAGTTAACATCTTGCCACTGCGGCACCCGTATTAGTTTATAGTTTACACATACTAGTCTACACCAAGCAATTATACTGCACTGCTTCGGCATGACACAGTAGATTCACAATAATGCTGTTGTTGGCCGTTAATTTAAGAAAGCACGGAATAAATGTGACAAGACTGGGTAGAATAACCAACAAAGACATTGTGGATAGAAGATGTCACGAAGAAGATGAATCCACGTCCAGTTGCGCGTGGGGGGTGCCCCGGTTCTAAAGGGGCACCGAGTCACCGACAAGAGCAAAAAAATGCCGTCACTCGGAATGATTTGGCGATCAATCGTCCCCGCTGTACGTGAGTCACTGAAGTTATAATCTCAGCAGGTGGTGAGCTTGTCAACAGAAATTCTCCATTCCAAACGCAGACTGCATAAACATTGCAAGCATATCCGTGATCATATTTTGATTCGGGGGGGGGGAAATCGCGTGCATTGGTTTAGGAGGTTTTTTGTTATCGAGAAACCACACATCTCAGCTTCCGCAAATTCGAGGCACAAGGCCTGATAACACCCTGGGAGGTTTTTTTGGTTTGTAGATTGTAGCCAATATTATTTGTTTGTTACCATACGAGAATAATAAAAAAATCACATATCCAAATTTGAACCGAACTTCATCTCATGATAAAAAATAATACATTGGAAGTACACTGCCGCAACTATTCACCAAGCCTCCTCATTCTAAACATTGACGTTCCCTCGCTCGCTTGTGCCTCGTTGTGTGTCATTTCAAATTCACAACTTATTTCATTGCTTGATATCACTTCTCTCTCACAAACTATTAGTTCACCTCCACCAAATCCCAAATGCACAATCCTTGACTTTTAATTTCTACCTCACATCAAGCCTCTAACTAAAACCACATGGATTCGTTTTTCCAACTTAATTCCACATTTGCGATCCTTAAAAAAAACTCCAAGTGGATTAAAAACCACGTTCAAAATGCAAGTCGATTCCGTTCGGAAGGACAAATCAGTCTGTAAATCCCATGCCAATCTCATCAATCACCTTTCTTTGACCACATCTGTGTTTACCTCCTCATTAATATCGTCCGGGGCCTGTAACCTAAAATCCTTCTTCCGTACAATGCACTCTCTCCGTTAACCTCAAAACTCAGCTGATGTAATCACCCGAACTATTGCAATACCGTTGTTATTTTTTTAAAGGCAAAAAAAAATCAATAATTCTGGTCTCTTTTAATCCCCATCAACAGTACAGCCACCTGGCCCTCCTCTCATTCCCTACCGCTGCTGCTCAGCATTCTCCAGTCCGTGGCCTCATAACGCCATCGCTTAAATTACCCCAGTACAACAATTACTCAGGGCCTGCCTACTCCGGCCACTGGCATCACATCGCATCGCACCACGCAGCGTAACCTCCTCAACCCCCTCACTTATTCTGCTGCTCATAAAACACTGCCACGAGTTAACAAGGCACCTGGTGTATTCGGCAGCCCTCTCACCCGACACGTACACACCACATGCTCCTCTCGCTCGGTATAAAAAACACAAATACTTAAATGAGTCATCTCGCCCTCTCTCCCACGGCTCCAATTATCCGTCTCCCAACGGCTTTCACAACTCTGTTCAATGTAACGTCTACGCTGAACTCTCCACTGATCAACGACAACCACTACGTGTGGCTGCTTCTCTCCGTTCACCGTGACCCACTTTGCTCGTTCTCGTGGATTGCTCTGCGTTTTCTACGCTCCTCGAATGTCTGCAGAACAATCGCGTGACCTCTCGCGTGACCTCTCTCCGCTGTGCAGGAATAGCTCCAATCTGGTGCAATGCTGTGAGTAGTCAGGAGACGCTGACGCGGAGTGAAGTGAGAAGCAAACCACTCCCACCTGCTCCTGCATTTCGAAGGATTTTCGCAAATCGGGGTCACCCATCAATCATACCTGTGCTGTCTTGTTTGTAATGTATAGGTCGCAAGTTTTTTTTTTATCGTTACTTTAACATTTGTGCTGCCTGCTTTGGACTGTTAGTCCCTGCCTATGCCGTATTGATTACCTTGTTCCATTAATCATGAGGATAAAAAAATATATATTTTATGACATCAACTGAAAATGCATGAATTGAAAATAATCGCTTCGTAGGCCTGAAATTGGAAGGTTGCATCTAGAGCAAAGTAACTGACTTTAATCGATGCACTATCAATCATCATCATAAGCCAAGGTCAATCGAGTTATAAGCATACGCCCCTGCACTTAACCAGCCGACCGCGGCATTCTCCAAGAACCAAACCCGCTCGGTTGGCGAGGGATCGCCGTACCACACGGGAGTGACGGCCGCTCCGAGCGTGACCCCCCGACCCCGCACCCCACCCACCTTTGACGAGCTCCGGGCGGTACGCGCTCCGCAGGCGCTCCAGGAAGAGGCGGTAGAAGGGCTCGGCGCGCTCGCCCGCCATGGCGAGGTGGAAGTCGGGCTTGTTGCCCTTGAGCACGGCCTGCAGCGTGAACTGGCTGACGCACAGCACCTCGCCCCGCGCCTCCGCCACGCTGGAGCTCCACGGGCGGCCCTCCGCGCCCTCAAACACGCGCAGGCCCAGGATCTTGCGCACCCTGCGCCGCGCAAACGGGTGAAGGCCGACCCGTCGTGCCGGCACGGAGGGCGTCTTAGGAGTTTAGGGGTCACCCCCACCCCTCCCCGCGCGTCGTGTCCGTGGCACGCGGCTGGGAGACGTGAACGGATCACCGTTTAAACCACGAGCCGCCGTACGGTAACGTGGAGCTCACTGGACTGGAAACTTTCAAGTTCGCCGGTGGCGGTTCGATCTCCCCCGTGACAGGCCAGTCGAAACGACGGGGGCAAGTTTCTTAATCCCCACGCCTCCGTTCATCCCAGCAGCGAATAAACGGGTTCAGCGCAGCGAGTGGAAGGACAGGTCACGTACGGTGGGGTAAAGTGTGGGTACTCTCACCTCTTTTAAGACATCTGGTTGTTTCGGAAGAATCAACCAACTCCCTCCCCCCCCCGAGAGCTCCCTCTAGTGGAAGCCCTTCCGAAAACAGCGGTGCAAGCAGAGCAAGCATGAGCAGAGCAAGCATGAGCAGAGCAAGCATGAGCAAGCATGAGCAGAGCAAGCATGAGCAGAGCAAGCATGAGCAGAGCAAGCATGAGCAGAGCAAGCATGAGCAGAGCAAGCATGAGCAGAGCAAGCATGAGCAGAGCAAGCATGAGCAGAGCAAGCATGAGCAGAGCAAGCATGAGCAGAGCAAGCAGAGCAAGCATGAGCACAGCAAGCATGAGCAGAGCAAGCATGAGCAGAGCAAGCATGAGCAGAGCAAGCATGAGCAGAGCAAGCATGAGCAGAGCAAGCATGAGCAGAGCAAGCATGAGCAGAGCAAGCATGAGCAGAGCAAGCATGAGCAGAGCAAGCATGAGCAGAGCAAGCATGAGCAGAGCAAGCATGAGCAGAGCAAGCAGAGCAAGCATGAGCACAGCAAGCATGAGCAGAGCAAGCATGAGCAGAGCAAGCAGAGCAAGCATGAGCAGAGCAAGCATGAGCAGAACAAGCATGAGCAGAGCAAGCATGAGCAGAGCAAGCATGAGCAGAGCTCATAGCTGTCAACCCATACGGTTTATTTATTGTACGAGGAAATTGAGTTTTTAGGTCCATACGGCGTACAGTCATTTCCATACGGGCAATTTTTTTTTCCAATTTTTTGTGTTTCTCCCTTGTAAGATGAACGTTCAGGTTTATAGGGGCACGGGGTGACCAACAAGGTCTAAATTGGTCTGTAATAAGGTAGGCACTGATAACAGGCTTGACAGGTAGGAGAGCTGCACCTTTAACTTTTAACTTGAGAAACGAGGACAAATGCACAAAACATAACGTCCCTAGCATATTTTGTAAATGCTGCCCTGTATGTATCTGGAGGCTTTTTGGGATGAGCGGTAGCAGAGTGCCTGGAGCTGTCACTAAGGTACACGGCGAATCGGGGCGACTGCCCCGGGCCCCACGCTTTGGGGGGCCACACACTGCGACGTCACGGTGGTGTCAGACGTAATACTTTCGGTTTAGTTTCAAGGCGTTGGGGGGGGCCCACACGGTAGGATTTTCCCCAGGCCCAGCAACCCCCCCACCCCCAATGGATGGCCCTGCTTAGAGCGCTGCCCTATGAACTCTGGCGAAGCGTGCGTCAAACTATCTCTCGGACCAACAGGGCACGGCCCTCATCCAGTAGCAGACTGACAAAAAACCGGGGCGGCCCGTGCACGCACGCGTAATGGCACCGGGATAACGAGGACGTTCCGGATGCGCGCGTCGCGGCTCTCCGTGAGCGTGCCGAGCCGTGGGCGTTGCGCGTCTCACATGAAGTCGATCTCCCTCTCCGTGTCGTCGCGGGAAATCCCCAGCAGCACGCAAAGTCCTCTTCCGATGGAGCTCACTTGCTCTCCAGCGACTGCACACACAGCGAACGCCGCGCGAGCGCGATCATCCGCATCCGCGTCCGCTGGTGCTCGTCCCCGTTCACATGGAGCGCGACTAAGACGAGCCACCTGCCAGCCGTGCCTTCGTTTGCCTGGAAACTCGACTGGCAGGAGCTGACGGGGGCGATAAAAAGGCACTCGTCGAATGCGACCGGGCCAAAAGAAAACAAAAATGTTCGGGACAGACTCTTCGTAAATGCTACTGCCCGCCCTCAAGCGAAACTTGAGCTAAACAAAAAAACGTATCCAAAAAAGTACGAAAAATAACATTCTGCATATGTCAGGAAAAGTGTGGCGGGTAGAAATGAAATGCGGACGAATCTGTACCCTATTTCGCCGAGACCTTTAGAGATGTCAACAGCCACGCGGCATCAAGTGCTGACAAAACAACCACATATAGGTCAAACACAACCGCATATTTACGATTTCTTCCCTACAGGTGGATGGGTTCAACCAATGCTAAAGCCGGTATCCGAGGGTCTGAGATTCAGGTGGCTCAAATCTAGAATCTGGAACAATCTGTCAAATAATTAGATGAATCGACAAAAACGTTTGTCATAGCTTATTCGGGCCCTTTCAAAATGGCAGCCACCCTCACATCCTACAGGCCCAGCGAGACGCGGTTGATGACGATGTCAATGATGTCACCAAGCCTCGCCGATAACCTCCCGTCCAGCGGCACACGTGGAAACAGAGGCGAAACTTTTTTTCCCCCCCAACTGCAGTGTTCTCGTGTTGCCCGGTTCGCCAAATAATCGAACCCGATAATGGAGCGAGTAATCGCGTACTTAATTGGATAGTTCAGCTCAATTAAAAAAAAAATCCCAATTTGAAAAAGCAACACTGAATTATAGTTACGATACCGGCACAAAATAGGCAAGGCTTGTGAATTGTCAGTTTAATTTAAAGTTTACAGGAGGCAGGCAACTGTCAAAGTTCCTCGCCAAAACGACTTCACGGGCAGTCCTCGGCTTACGAACTCAATTCGTTCCTGAGACCCGTTGGTAAGTCGAACGGTTCGTGAGTCGGAAACACAGTAATGCACCGTATTTAAATGCTCATACGGTTATGAAATGTGTGACGGTTCAACAAAAAGGGAAACATCGTTAAACTCGTTACATCTCGTGCAGGATCGCTCATCTGAACAAAATAAAGTCAATTTTGTTTTAATACTTCGTGGAAGCTGGTTCGTAAGTTACGGCCGTTCGTAAGTCGGGCGTTCGTAAGTCGAGGACTGGCTCTGTTCGGCAGATGGGTGACGCATACCGTCGAGTCTGTGCAAAGTGGCTCGGCATTCACAGCGGCTGTTGTCCAAGGTGGTGCGGTGGTTAACGCTCTCCGCTATAAACCCCGCCAACACAGCATTATTATTCCGAGCATCGGCTAATGCCAGTGACAAGTGATATCTGATATCACAGTCACATAATCACTCACAGTTACATAATCACTTTAAGATGTTTTCTTGTTCATGTTTTTTTGTTTGTTGCGGTTGCACCCGATTCAAGAGCCGAATGGCTCACAGGGCTATACCAAAAAAACGAACTATGAACTATGAACCGGTCCAGGGCCCTGATTGACCAAGCCGAACTGGTGAGGTACGGTCAAACAATCCCCGCGGTTGAAATAACCACGGAGCAAGGCTTCATTCGGCAGTGGCTTGACGAACGGTTATGACGTATTCATTATCTAGCCAATTAGAAAATCACCACAGCTCATCGACAGTACCATGACACAGCATGTGAATGTGCAGAATGGACACGCTATTGTCTCCCCGGTAAATACCAAATCAGCTACAAGATTGTCTCGCCCTCTTCATGATGCTACGTGGACCGGCGCATGCCTAACGCTCCCCTCTCATCCGTTAGGGTCCATGCGCTCTCCACCGCTGACGTTAAGGCCTCCATCAGTCCCTAAGCGACCTCACTCAATGGGAGATGGCTCCTTCGAATCTGTTGCCGCCTTGTGGTCTGGAACACACTCCTCTCTTGTTAATGTCCACATTTTAGATCTCCCCCCATCTCCTTTGCCCATTACCGTCTATGAAATATCTTCATTCCCACCAACGCCGCAGCCACGCTTCGTCTTGCGGCTGCCAGCTCCTCAAGCCACTCCAGCTCCGAGAAGAATTTGAAAGAAAATCATTATTCTTTTTCCCGGATTACAAAATGCTTTTCTCCATGTCTGCAGTGGATTTGAAATCCAGTGGTATATGGATGCCCCGACAAAAAAAAACGAATTCATGTAGTCGTACTTTTTCACACACTTGCAGCGAAATTACAAATTCATGCTTCATTGTCACGCTGTCTCGATTTAAAGCTTTCGTGACTGCAGAGATTCATCTTCTTGGTTCTTTCGGTAAAGTCACGTAGAAGGGAAACAATAAAATAATAAAAATTAAATTATCACGACGTTTCGGCCACAACACAAGCAGCCGTCCTCAGGTGAAGAAACAGAACTGTCGGAAAGACAGCACCTGAGGACGGCTGCTTGTGTTGTGGCCGAAACGTCGTGAGAATTTTATTACGTTTGATTTTTATTATTTCATTATTTCCCTTCTACGTGACTTTACCGAACGAACCAAGAATATGTCACGCCGTCATTTTACATAATCCACTGGCACACAAACCATAGAGTCTGCCCCCCCCCCCCCAAAAAAAAAAACCCCACAACTTTAACTATGCCACATCTTTATGAAGTGTAACTCTTTTTTTCACGTGCTCGCCTAAAGGTCGAAGTCACATCGACATTGAGTATCCCGCCGACAGAGGGAGGTGATGTCACTGAACGTGAGAGAAAAGAGCGTACTCGCTAAAACACAGCAGGCGTCTCGCGCCCAAGTGTGCCACGGTACGAGTCACCGCTGGAGCAATTGTAACTCGTCAATTTCATCACAGACCACTCGGAATTGTCCTTGGTGCACAATCCACGCGCACTAAACTCAGCTTCGTGATGTAGTTGGCCACATTACGCCGACTGTCCTTCCAAGTGGTGCTGTGGACGGTGGTCAACTTCCAGGCGAGAGGGATGTCAATACAAATGTGGCTCAGTGATCGACTCACCGGCCGTTTGGAAGGAATGCAATGGGTGCCACTGAGAGTCAAATAGACGAGGGACAGGACGGTGAAGCCAAATTGCGGTGAGTAATACCTTTAGTTTAACACGCAGGAGGCTTTCGCGACCAATATCATTCATAACGTAGAGGAGGGGTTTTTGTTTGGGGTTAGATCGCGTAAATATAAATGTGTCGTTAAACCCACCACTACCTGACAGCCAAATCGTGTGAGCAATGTTACACGGAGGGAGGGGGGGGGGGGTGATCCATGTGTAGCCACCCCATCGATGTCTAAACGGACCCACTCTTTCTCAACAGATTACCTGCATAGTGTGAAATCATGGCTGTAAAAAATAGTTTAATAAGTTAATACACTTTTGGAGCAAAAACAATGTTTTAGAAAGTGTATGTGAGATCGACTGAAGGCATGTCGAGGCTTTTAAATCAATTGTCTATTTATTTCCTGTATGAAGCATCAATGAATGGATTAACCTGTATTGTGACGCATACGAAGTTCTGCATAGGAGTTATCAAAGGTGGCGGCTGTACATTAAAAGCGGTGAGTGATATTATTCGTCGCACTTAAGTTTACTTGCATGTCACTGGTAAAAAAATGTAATAAATATATTGCTTCACTCAACAGCGCAACACACGTGGCTCGCAGCGGCTGGCGGAGCTGACCAAACACCGGGGTGCTGCTGCTGCTGCTACGTGCGCGGTCTCTACCGGGCACATGGAGGGGCATGGCTGTAGCCTTCGATCTGCCGGTGCGTGCGGCAGGTGCAACAGTGGGTACGTTTATTAAATACCACCGCGCTCCTGTGCACAAGCACAATGGTGGGGCGAGAGTGTGGGCACTCCCACCTCTTCCATCCAAGACGTCTAAGCGGAGCGGAAGAGCGGGTCAAAAATACCACCTGGAGCGGCTCCCTCGAACTTCTCACAGTGGAGGTCCGACTGACAGCAGCGGCGTGAGAAAGTAATTGCAGGGCTGCGCCTTTACATGTTTACTGCGTATACATTTCTCATTATTCGCCTTTCCAATACTGCAGCTCCATCTGGCTGAGCCAGCATTGAACTGTGAGCATCGACTCAATGTCCGGGGTAGGATTAAGGGCTCACCCGAGATCACAAGCTCTCTCTCTCCTCTAAGTGTGTGGATAAACTTGACTCGCGAATACTGGGGGCAGTTGTAGTCTCACTCACCAGACACCCTGCCCAGTGACAGTCTCACTCACCAGACACCCTGCCCAGTGACAGTCTCACTCACCAGACACCCTGCCCAGTGACAGTCTCACTCACCAGACACCCTGCCCAGTGACAGTCTCACTCACCAGACACCCTGCCCAGTGACAGTCTCACTCACCAGACACCCTGCCCAGTGACAGTCTCACTCACCAGACACACTGCCCAGTGACAGTCTCACTCACCAGACACCCTGCCCAGTGACAGTCTCACTCACCAGACACCCTGCCCAGTGACAGTCTCACTCACCAGACACACTGCCCAGTGACACTCACTCACCAGACACACTGCCCAGTGACAGTCTCACTCACCAGACACCCTGCCCAGTGACAGTCTCACTCACCAGACACACTGCCCAGTGACAGTCTCACTCACCAGACACCCTGCCCAGTGACAGTCTCACTCACCAGACACACTGCCCAGTGACACTCACTCACCAGACACCCTGCCCAGTGACAGTCTCACTCACCAGACACCCTGCCCAGTGACAGTCTCACTCACCAGACACCCTGCCCAGTGACAGTCTCACTCACCAGACACCCTGCCCAGTGACACTCACTCACCAGACACACCGCCCAGTGACAGTCTCACTCACCAGACACCCTGCCCAGTGACACTCACTCACCAGACACCCTGCCCAGTGACAGTCTCACTCACCAGACACCCTGCCCAGTGACACTCACTCACCAGACGCCCTGCCCAGTGACACTCACTCACCAGACACCCTGCCCAGTGACAGTCTCACTCACCAGACACCCTGCCCAGTGACACTCACTCACCAGACACCCTGCCCAGTGACAGTCTCACTCACCAGACACCCTGTCCAGTGACAGTCTCACTCACCAGACACACTGCCCAGTGACACTCACTCACCAGACACCCTGCCCAGTGACACTCACTCACCAGACACACCGCCCAGTGACACTCACTCACCAGACACCCTGCCCAGTGACAGTCTCACTCACCAGACACCCTGCCCAGTGACAGTCTCACTCACCAGACACACCGCCCAGTGACACTCACTCACCAGACACCCTGCCCAGTGACAGTCTCACTCACCAGACACCCTGCCCAGTAACAGTCTCACTCACCAGACACACTGCCCAGTGAAGTCTCACTCACCAGACACCCTGCCCAGTGACAGTCTCACTCACCAGACACCCTGCCCAGTGACACTCACCAGACACACCGCCCAGTGACACTCACTCACCAGACACCCTGCCCAGTGACAGTCTCACTCACCAGACACCCTGCCCAGTGACAGTCTCACTCACCAGACACACCGCCCAGTGACACTCACTCACCAGACACCCTGCCCAGTGACAGTCTCACTCACCAGACACCCTGCCCAGTGACAGTCTCACTCACCAGACACACTGCCCAGTGACACTCACTCACCAGACACCCTGCCCAGTGACAGTCTCACTCACCAGACACCCTGCCCAGTGACAGTCTCACTCACCAGACACACTGCCCAGTGACACTCACTCACCAGACACACTCCCAGTGACAGTCTCACTCACCAGACACACTGCCCAGTGACACTCACTCACCAGACACACTCCCAGTGACAGTCTCACTCACCAGACACACTGCCCAGTGACACTCACTCACCAGACACACTCCCAGTGACAGTCTCACTCACCAGACACCCTGCCCAGTGACACTCACTCACCAGACACACTCCCAGTGACAGTCTCACTCACCAGACACACTTGCCGCCGCCACTCGCTGCACCACCGCCTTCATTGCCCCGTCAATGCCCGCCGTTCTGAGCCTCTCCGCCTCGGAGCTCAAACCGTGATGCCTCAATCGTCTTCGATTGCCGCAGCCTGGACGAGGACCCAGCTCGGATCATTCACTAGGCGCCCGCCGGCCCGATACGACGACTACGACTACAGAGAGCCCCTCTCTGTACAGTGAGGAAGAAATGTCAGGTTGGCTGTGGAACGGCAAACACGTGGAGCGAGACGTTGCCACGTGGTCCCGCACCGCCATCTGCTGGCACACGTGCACAATGCAATCTTAACAATTTTTAAACTTTTTTTAAAGCTGTCGTGACTGCAGGGATTCATATTCTTGGTTCTTTCGGTAAAGTCACGTAGAAGGGAAACAATAAAATAATAAAAATATAAAATAATAAAATTATCACGACGTTTAACACCTGATGATTGCTTGTGTTGCAGTCGAAACGTCGTGAGAATTGTATTGTTTTATATTTTTATTATTTTATTATTTCCCTTCTACGTATTTTTAAACTACAATATTTGTTTTATTTTATTAGATAAATGGCCATCCATTGAGTAGGTACGCAAAAATCTATCAAAACTTTACCCCTACCCCCCTCCCTGTACGCACGCGGACTTTTTACCCTCCCCCCATCAGCGTACGTACGCCTGACACACACCCCCGAATCCAAGAGCACGGCCGATATTTAATCCACGCAGAAACGATCAAGGATTAATAATAATATTAAAGTGTTGAAGCAAACAGATAGTCCACCGCCGGACTATCTAACTCATTTTAAGGCCAATGTAGACAAATTATTATCGAGGCTTCACCCCCCCCCCTCCCCGTTCCCTATGTGTATATTGTGAGTAGACCCCCCCCATACGCAAGCGTTTGGGTTAACCCCCTCCTCCCCCTCCATGCGTACGAGCTCAGTGGATGGCCTCTCAGGCCCACTGAGCGATTATCGCACTTTTTCAAAAGAGACCTGGTCACAAACGATAGCTCAACCAAGTGGCGAATCATTTGCAAATCTATAGAAGTCAAATTCTCTAAACGCATTTTTATCCTAAATGTGGAGGGAAAACCCGGAGGACCCGGAGAAAAATCCACGCGACCACGGAGAGAGAGACACGCAGACTCCAAATATAAGAGAATTTCAATATAATATTCTGAACATCTGCAGTTTTAGTTAGACGTTGAATATTTTCAAGTGAATTTTATGCTAAATTTCAGCTTTCCAACGCCTCCTTTTTAATGTTTTCTCCTACAACATCAGAGTACAGCGCCACATTAAATACGCACTACAATGACAATAGTTTAAAGCGATTTGAAACATGTTTTATTTTCAAAATGGAAATATGGTTTTGGGGGGGGCAGAGCTTTGTGACGTCATATTTGAGGGGGGTCTGACTTTTTGTGACGCCGTGTGACGAGGGGGGAGGGGGGGTCAAAAATCGGCCAAAATCGCGTGACGTCATTTATGGACGGCCCCTATAATGAATATTAGTCGCAAAAGCCTACGCGATAAACGCAAATAACTGCCTCAAATAAAATGTAAAACTAAATAATGCAATAAATAACAATGCGGAATTTAAGGAAATGCCCCTTCTTTACAGCAAATCGCGCTATGAAGGGCCATTGGGATTGTGAGAGATGGTGGGCAGCTTTGGAGAGGTCTTCATCCAGCAGTGGATTGATAATGGCTGGTGGTGAAACCAATACCGATTACCCGTGCCGGCCACACCCTTGGAGTGTTGATTTCTGAAAGTCCACGGCGCACTATGAGGTGGCTAGAGCCTCAAGCGGTGACGGCTGTTGTTGTTATACTGACAAGCGCAGCTGATAAGTGGCACGTGGAAGACATATCGACAGACGGACGACCTTGCCTCCAACAAGTGATCCAATAGGTGACAATCAGTCGTTACACTGGACGTTGGCCCACGGACCTCAAGAAATAAATACGTCCAAACGATGACCCCTGAGTATATTTCGATTTAAAGCTTTCGTGACTGCAGGGATTCATATTGTTGGTTCTGATGATTGCAATCGAAACGTCGTGAGAATTTTATTTTTTTATTATTTCCCTTCTCCGTGACTTTACCGAAAGAACCAAGAATATGGGACCCTGAGTATGTGAAGGTGTAATAACTACACAACTGCAGGCCCGATGAACGAATCGGGTTGCCACCTGTCCAGCTTTGGCCCGGACAGTTCGGGAATTGGCATCGGAGCTTGGGGTAGCAGGAATTGATGTGGTACAGACATCTAAAATAATTGTGTTGTACGCATGTCGTTATTCTGCAGTGTTTCGATGGGCCCAAGGCTGACTGAGACATATCTCAGGGCTAGAAAAGGTGGCAACCATAGCCATGATCGATCCACTGCTGGATGAAGGCCACCCTAAGACGCGTCCTCTAAGGCGCCTTCCATTCCCTAGCTGCGGCTCCGTCTCTTATTATTTACCACGAGCTGTTCGCCCGTCCCAGGACGGGTGTATATTGATGTAAAATCTGAAATATTCCATAGACAAATTGTTCAGCTCATGATTATTAATAAGGGGGGGGGGTGCCCCATGTGGAGTGACGTCACCCGCTCATGATTATTAATGAAGGGGTGCGTCATGTGGCGTGCGCGACCTTCTTGTGCGTTCGTGTAAATTTCCACGCGGGCATGAATATTAATGGAGGGGGGTTGCTTTGACAGTGACGTCACGCACGGATGTAGCACTGTAGCTGCGTATATTTATTTTTTACCGTCACTTTCTGTAAAGAAACGTCATATTTGAAGCGACTTTGCGTAATAAATTATTTAATTCAGCTCGACCTTCCTCTGCGTAAGTGTAATAATCCACCCACTCATGAATATTAATGAGGGGGGGCTCGTGTGGAGTGACGTCACTGCGCGGGACATTATTTGCTCGTTAGAGTATTGGCCATCGAAAGCATTCGAGCGACGTGTTTGCCCAAGTCGACTAACATACCTTTAAGGTTTGAATTATGTCATTAACTTCTAAATTATTCAAACAAAATGCATTAATCAATGAGAGAGTCTGATTCCGTCATATGAATAGAGTACAGTATTTGAGTCACCAGCTAAAAGAAACCTACAGTGTGACATTGTGGGCTCAGGCTGGTGGTGATTGATTGAGTTTTGGTGGGGTGTTGGGACGGTGGTTGTGATGGGTGGTAGTGATCAGCTGGGGTGTTGGGACGGTGGTGGTTGTGATGGGTGGTGGTAATATCTGACTGTTACAAAGCACGCCAAAAGCATACGGCAAAGCCACGTCATTTAATCACCCAGCAATGTACACCTTTCATTCAGACAAGCATACACAGAGTCATTAAAAGCCCATTTCAAAATACATTCGGTAGAAATGGGCAGGTGTAGGGTTACAAGACAAACATATATATGCAATGTACAATGACGCTTAAACAAATTACAAAATATATTACACAAAGCATTGTGGGTCAATTAAGATGTCAATACAAGGATAAACGCCAACGTAACGGTGCATTACACATAGGATATTACAGATATACATTATATACAAAACGAAATATAGTACACGGCACACATCTGCTATGAAACAAAGGCGCACATTTAGAATTTACCTTTTGCATAGAATCTGTTACTTTAATCCAAAGTCTAAACGAAAGCTCTAAAGGCACTGAGGAAAATCCTGCAGTGGTACAATGCGGTGGTAACGGTAATACTATATAAATGCATCACAGGAGAGCGAGCATTCGACCGACTTCAAAAGCTATTTACTCACGACAGGACTTTAGCAACGCATAGCTACGGGATCATTCAACACTATCGACATTTCCAAAGCGTATGCTCTCTTTATCTCTCATCCTCGTGCTATGTCAGACAGAGGTACATTCATTTTGACACCATTCCCCCCCCCCCCTCCCCGTATTGTATGGTTTGTGCGCTTGTGTAAATGTTGATAAGTTACAATGATCCCTGTGGTGTAATGTGTCTAAATGTACAGCATGGGAAGGAAAACTCGCCACGAACGTTGCATACCCTCAAGGTATGTTGTGTCACTGCCAAGAAAGAAAAAAAGGAGACGCTTTCACTTTTGGTAAATTGAGGCTGCATACATTACAGTGCCAACAAGAGGCAAAGAGTGAAATGCAGTTGCACCAGAAAACTCGGTTGACCCCCCCACCACATGGTTCCTAAATGTATTTCACCACGATGTAAATTCCCTTAAATATCATTTCAACCTGCACACTATTCATTCTCGCCGACGAAGATTATAATTGGTTGAAGATGACGAAAGCTGACATTCGCCATAAAATGCATGAACAATTATTTAAATTGTTATTGAATATGTAGTCCCTCCGTACACCTAGTTACACACATCAAATAGTCAATGTGATTGATGACTTAATACCAGTGCACAATATGCATGTGTAGTCTCATAAGAACTCTCGCTTTTAGGCAAGGGTGCTCTACTTTTAATGTAATGTTGCAGCACACGAGCAGAGGGTCGATTTGGATGCGCGTACTGCAGAATTAGCTATGTCCATACATTGAGACGTAATGAGGCTTTCCTGGGTAATAATTAAGCATTTACGCACTGTGATACACTGAACACGATAGAGTTGTGTTTTTACTATGAACAGACTATGCCATCTACTGGAAAAAGTGTTCATGATGAAGTTTACCTATCATCAAAGTGCCTTTGGTGCATTGCTAAGAACCAAGCAGAGTGACTCCCTTCATTAAGTGATCCATGAACTGCAATGAATTAAGGACCCAGACTGGACGTAGACAGGAAATTCCTCAAGACTCAACTCTCTGCATAAGTTCAGGCCAACCACTAGCTTAGTGTCACATTTAAACGTCTACAAATCAAACGGACTGTGTTATCAGAAAAAAATGATAAAGTTCCACTTTTTTAGTTCTGCACGAAAAATAGCAGTGATCAACCAGGATGTATGAATGCGAACAAGCGAATGCCAAATGTAAAACACCACGTTGTAATAATGTCGCTGTACCTGCTGCTGTGAGGCTACATAGGGCAGAACGACGCATTACAATCTATTTACATAAGCTGTATCTCACGTTTGTAGGTGAAATATGATGATCAATACTTTGCAGCTGTGAAACACTTTTTTCACATCAGAACCAATCCACCAAATAGTAAGCACGTGAGAAGTGAGGCCTGCATGAAAGCTGAGCTTACATTTACCAAGCCTAAGGGGGTTGCTACGCATATGTAACCAGTTTCTAGTAATAGTCATGAATGTATTCGTGATTCGTATTTTTGTCGGTGCATTTATGCACCTATTGACACAACCCTTACGTATTAAAACATTTTACTTGCAACAGGCAGCGCAGCTTCTAATGGCTCTCATCACGACCGCGTTAATACGAACGCACGTGTCACCATCGTGGACAAAGCCCCGTTTATGTTGTGTTTATCCTGCAAAATAAAACATGACGTCCTTGACAGTGGCCGAGAACTTTCGCCTGCCAATATTCGCCCTGTGTTTATACAAGCCAGATCATCTCAGCTTCTCCGTGAAAAGGAAAACAGAACGTTGGAAAGGTCACATATTCCCATGAACTGGGAGGATTATTTTAAAAAAAGCTGTCAATTGGATGTTTAAGCACATATGGGCCACGATTCTTACTGCATGAGGTTTCTAATTACTGCTGACAATTTGCAGTCGCATTTTTGTTAATGGATGTTTTTTTAGTCAATACCACAATTTTTCACAAATTGTATGTTGTCCTTGTACACGCATGATCTTTGTCGAGAGTGAATCAACGTTCTCTACTATTTTGGATACCTTTATTATACTTGAGCCAGAAAAGACAGGACTTTGATATGTATAATGTCCAGCTCTCAATCACTATACGCTGTTCTGACAAGAACTCATCACTCAGTAAATATTAGCTAAATATGTAAACGTAGTCGGACGTAATATAATTAAATGTAACTTGAATGCGGTTTTTGGTCGGCTACCGGCCAGACCTGTTACACCTGAGAACCAGGTTTCATTGCTGGTAGGATTGTGGGATTCAAGCCCCAGATATCGCCAGAACTTGCATGCATCAACCACTTCTGGCTTTGCCAACTGCAACATGCTTAGACAACAATATATATGCCCCGAAGACTATTGGTTTTCTCTTTAAGATGTTACTCTTAATCAAGTATGAGAAAACCACAACTCAGAAGAGCAGGGGTAAAGCAAAGTCCCGAAATTATGTTGAAATGCACTGCTTTAGATAAGGTTCAGGAGGCTTGGGTAAATGACGGGCTGATATAGACATCTTTAAATCCTCCACAAAAATGTGTGCTTTTATCAAGTCCCTTTTAGTACACAATTCCATTCCCATGGTAACTGCTTATGGGTATAACATAAATAATGACGAACAAACATATTTAAGGATGGGTATTCTTGGGTGTTTCCAGCACACTCAGAATGACACTTCTCTTGTTTTCCCAAACAGCCATCAGTATAAGCACTGCGAAAAGCAAAGTCAACAGTAACCCACACATACACCGGTAAACACTGCAAGGTCACCAGACAGCATCGACACGTGGCATGGCGTTCTGTAGAGATTGGTTCACCCATGAAGACCTATAACAAAATTACATCCTAAACTTCAATTATTTGATTGAAGAAATGTGACCAAATACTTTAAATTTATAAATAGAATACTTAAACGGACTTTAGTAATCACCCATTTGATAAACAAATGAGAATGTTGGCTTAAATGAAAGCATAATAATCTCAATATGTATTGTTCATAATATATATTTAAATAGGTTTTACTAATATGCTTTTAATGGTCCAAGCTGCCATTTAACACTTTTGAATACACAATTAGTAACTATATAGTACAATGTGGAAGTTTGGGTCATAACTGAAGGAAACAATACGTTCAGGATCTCAAAAAATGTGTCTAATTGAAATGGGACCACCACAGGTTATTATCATTTAGTTTTTCAAGTAAACACGTACTTCATCAACAGGCCCGGCAAAACCGGTGGATCTGCAGGTCTCGATCGCTGCTGCGCTCCACACGTTTGAAATTAACAATTCGTAAGTGGCACAATTTTATCTCAGTTGTAGCGGCTTTCCGTCCGTCAAAAGTCAAGGATTTGAAAATGAATTTATCGAAAAATTTGAATGAACTGTATGAACCAATTAATTCCGAACGTTGTATTTATATAAGACATGCTGATATAAACCCAATATATTGTTTTGAAGATTTACTCGCATTCTTTTAATATTCGACAGAATTTGGCTGCTATACAAATCAAAAACTGTATTGTCATGATATTAATTTCACTACTTTAGACATACATAATTGACCAGTTATACGGATAAAGATTCTTTTCATTTTTGTGCAGTTCCAGGTTGAGTTATATTTAAGTCCACGTGGATTTAAATTTGGTCTATCAAGCCAGCACGTCACGACAAACATGTGCAAAATGATGTAATGTTTCAGAATTTTTAACTGAAAATAGCTGCTCGCCTGTCCACAAAAGCCCCTAAAGGAATTACTGGCAGCAACAAGACCTCATGTCAATTTGTGACAACGGACTCGATGCCTGGAATTCTGAACATGAGCCTAATCGGCGATTATCAAAACCACTGTGAAACAATCCTGCTCTTTTACGACACTGCATTTACAACGGTTCAGCATTATCATGGAATAAATGATCCTCAGTTCACCCAGTACCCCTTTCAGAGGACACAACCACCTTGTGATAACGTAATGTGTTATTGTAAATTAATTTTCACCCAGTCCCTTTTGTTGTCGATCATATTCTTTGGTGGGAAAAAGTAACTGCCATGGTAAATCACTCATCAATACCAGCTATTATTTATTTCTCCTCTGTTTAAAAAGAATATAGATATAACTTGACATTAATCTAATTGTATTTTATTTGTACCATTAGCTTATTTTTTTATTTAATTTTGTAAAATGTTCTACCTAATAATATTTATATTATAAAATTTAGAATGAACTTTGCGAATACAAATGTTTAAATGTATATTATTAAACAATGTCGTCATGTGTGAATTTGGAAATTGGTGACCAAATCTTTTATTCATGCCAGTTTTTTTTTATAGCCATGCCTTCAACTTACTGCATTGAAAACATGTGATAAGACATGGTATCATTGACTTAATAAATATTAACTTGTGGCAGTTTAGCTCAATTTGGAAATGTCCCTTAATATATATTGTTTACAAATTCCTGAATTCTCGATGAAATGGGAGTACATGGAACAAAAAGTGTGGCCATTTACATACTGATCAGCAAACCCCACATGATCAAGAAAACGTAAGCGCATAACAAAGACAAACTAACACATATAGACGCAAATGACTAAACAGATTTGAAAGAATCCAACCGTTTGCACGCACTTGCACGGCATGCACAGACAAACAAACCCCAGCACAAAGACACCAACTAACATGCAACACGAGTGAGCATGCGTAAATACATTGAATGCATTTCAACGTGTGTACACATGCAAGCCTATGATGTGCACGCATGCTTGAGAGCACAAAAGAAGGCCTGAATGTCACAATGTGTAAGAGATCTATTAACAAATCTTGGTTCACACATTTAAGTGGCTTGATTATCCCTGGTGTGGTGGGATTAAAATTATGACCATCTGTCCTATCTATAGGCCCAACATACAATGAATGCGCTGCCAATTTGGCCTTATTTCACATTTAACTTCATTGTTAAAGAGGTGCATTTTCATTAGGACTTATTTTAACAAGTCATCCTTTAAAATGTAGGTTATGCAATTCAAATTATTTGCAAAAATATGTACATTAAACACAGGCACTCTAGATCAACGCAGATGGGTGCATCATATTTGCACTTCATGGGAATAAAATTATCAAATGAAGTTATAAATATTCTGTAGGGAATTACCAAAGTGACCCTCTGTTATAAAGTATGCCATAAATTACAACAGAGGAATTCGCTTTGTGTCATATCCCAAATCATAAACTGGAAAATGTCAACTGCTCCTCGCTAAATAGTTACTTACGGTTCTCACGCGATTAAATGAAAAGTGTAACAAGTCTTAAATGTCAACGCTTCCTGCATATTCTGCATCAGGACCATCACACCCTAGCAGTCTGCCTCTCATAACCACGAGGCTATCTAACCTTCATGCTTAGTTCAGGTTTGGCCATGAAAACTCAAGCGAAACTGTCAAAAGATGCAGTCACGAAAGCTTTAAATCTAGAAAAGATGCAAATACTCCACGGTTGTCATTGCAATGCGTGAGTTCGCCAACCATGGTGGCGGAATATTAATCCGTGGCTCCACAGGTTGCATTGCTCTGTGGGTCAACACGATCGCGATGTTGTTAGGTTTAAGCGGTCACCCCTCTCCCTTCTCCATTGCCTCAACCTGGATTTGGACTCAAATATACAACCAGCATGTGACGTAAACGTCGGATGAGTCTCCAAGTTAATTTTCCACATTTCTCCATCCGAACAAAATTACTCAAGGTCCCTTTTATTGACTGCAACTGTAAATGAAGTTGTGTTTTTTTTTACAAGCTGAAGTATTGTATACATTTTGTAAAAAAAAAATGATCAACTGAACCCAATAACAAAATGTAAATGATTACTATAAAACGTGCTTCAAGGAAAGGAATTATTTTTAAGCTGACGTAATTATGGCAGTAGACACTGACGTGTAAAACGGGTTCCTTTCCATTTCCAAAGTAGAAAATGTCCAAAAATGCTATTGTTAACGTACAACACCTCCGTTATGCAATTCTGCGGATTGCCATCAAACAGGAGATGTTTGCAAAAGCTTCAAGGGGTGGCTCATGGTGCCCCTGTAATCGTGGGGTCATGTCATTGCATTTCACTGCACGCTCCGCCATCCTTCGCCTCCCACTGCGTGAATCTTCGTACCGAGGTGTGGGGAAACGCTTAACTTTTTGCTAGAGATTAGCGGGCAAGTTAAAATGACCTATACATTACGTCCCTGCAGTCCAGTTTACCCAGATACTGTGCAGTAAAAGCTGCTTAAAAAAATATATCTCCAGTGCAACTACTTCCGCCATTGAATTGACACGCATTATGACGAGTTCCAAGGGCCAAACCAGGATCGCACCATGCCCTTGTTAACTTGTTAAAGGCACCACAGGGAGGCTACAGCTGGAGACCGGGTGGAACGACGGCGTAAAGCATTTTGATTGGGTTAGAATGCATAATGCTTTGTCATAATGCACGGCATGACACTAGCTGGGTCTTATGATGAGAACACACACTTCAAGCTAAACACTTTAGTTCTAGTTCATTAGTCTTAATGTACCACATTCCCAGGGATTGTACACACTTTCCAGGAACGTGCATGGCAATGTAAAGGTAAAAGAGCATTTGCTTAACCATAGTGACACTATATTTTTCTTAAAAAATCACCACATTTGTTTTCACGTACCCAAGTCCACAAACACCTATGGACAATGACAAATGACAGGTGGTAATGGGCTAACCGGTGTGCCCATTGCAGTTAAAATGCCATATCAAGTAAAAATGCATCTGCACGCACATGTGCTGCTGTAATCCATGAGCGATTAAGTTCAGTGGATAAAATCTAGTCAAACTTCTCCCTCGATTTGAACAAAATCAAAGCACAACTTACAACGTTAATGTTGCCGAGGCAAGTCAGTGATGGGAAAATATCAATGGCAGGAGTCTAGAAGAGAATCCTCTGATAGACATCCACTTTCATACTGAATAATATCTTTAAAAGTGTATTTATAAGCAGTGTAATGAATATATATCATGTCACTCGTACATTTTCCAAACATTTCGCACCAATGTGCCGATGGAGACTACACAACATGGTAATATACTACATTGTAAAGTCTCCATGTTTACATTAGACGGATGCCAGGTGCTCTGGCTAAGGGGCACTGGTGGTTATAGCACTTAACTCACAACAGAAAGACTGCAAGTATCACTAAATAGTCGAGTGGTCGCCCCACGGAGACTTGAAGCTTGCAATAGGATAAAGGAATTTTCACAAATGACTCAGTTGTGCAATTTGAGTTCCATCCCATTGCTCGTTTGAAAAATGTAGGACAATGAACAGACAAGAGTGCCATTTTTCTTGATATATGAATATCTTTAAAAGAAAAAAATATCCATCCAGCATGTTGTTGACAATAATCAACAGGTCAATTTTCCACTGGCCATATCAAATTTGCTTTTGGTTCTATTTCGTTGCATCAACAGCTGGTTACACCACAATCACATGCTCCGGTGTAACCACAATATTACGGTGACAATGCTTTGACAGAGGGAAGAGGACAACCCCTGAAGTGAACACAGAATATAGTAGAGCAATATTAGGTATCAATTCCCTTTCTTTAGTGCAAGTTAATGAAAATAGTAATATTAAGCGGGTTCAACTGCGTCGGTCCAAAATATGCAATGCAGAAAAAAATAATTATATACACCGCTAAAGCAGTCTAATTATAATGAACGCACGTGGTTAAATAGAACACGGCTTCAATGAAAATAAAAATAAAATACACAATCCTTCCTCTTCTTTTAATCTGGAAACCTGCCAAACTAAAGTATATAATACACGCATCACACCAATCCAGCTGTGCTGCGACAGCCAGGGCACTGTGTGCAATGTCGAAAATGCTGGAAAAGCTCTCAATTCAAAAGCTTAACACATGGAAATTGTAAAAACAATAAAGTGTGAGCGGATACAATTTGTAAATTCCAATATGTGAAGAGCCACACAGTGGATAATATATGCCTGTGGTTAATACACAAAACATAAAAGTTGGACTGTCAATGAGTTTGTGATACACGGTACAAAATAATGCAAAACTTAATAATGCTGTTTGAAGATAAAAAGTACGGATGCATTGTATACTTTGACCCAACAAGCATGCTCGATGCCCTAAACATCGGCACTAAAAATAATAATCTGTTTTTGTGAAAGGTATGAACACAAAAAGTCAATAAAATAGTACCCACACATATGATATTTACTGTCTGTTCAGCATGCCCAAAATGATAGTCGGGTTGAAACATTTCCATTCAGAATTACAGCTTCATTAGCAGCTTCTCTCTTTGAAAAAAAAAACGTAGACTGCGATAGTCATCCCAGAAATGCCAAAGAAAAAAAAAAGTTGTGAAATATTTTCCAGCAACACTGCCAACTTTTACATTGGGATTAGTTTTTTTTTTAATTTGTGGAGCTTGTTTGAAGCACAATACCCCGGGCTTAGCAGACAGGGGTATCCTCCCGAATGGACGAACACCGGGCCAAGACACGTAGGGCATCGCCTGCGGGGCCAGCCGGCGCTTGGCCACTCCTCCCGGTGTTGAGCTCGGACGGCGAAACGGTTGCGAGGGCAGCCCCCCACCCCACCCTCCCCCACCCCCGACAATCAGAGTGCAGACTTGCGGATGGGCGTCTCGCGGCCCTCCGTCGGGCTGCTCTGCCGCCCCTCGTGGATGACGATGCGAAAGTGGTCCTGCAGCAGCACGCGCGGCTGCTGGCACTGCGAGGAGTTCTGAGACGCGTTGTCCGCGGGCCGCTCGGGCGGCGCGGCCGCCCCCCCCTCCGCCGCGTCGCCCTGCGGCTGGGGAAGAGGGCAGCCCTCGATGAGCTCGGGCTCAGCGGGTCGGCGGGCGGAGGCGCCGTTCACCTGAACGCACACATGCACGCGCGCGTGCAGGAACGCAGTCTCATTTAAGTTGCCGTGGGCATTGTCGCCTCAGAGGTCAGAGTGCCGAGCTGGGCACTGCGGAGATCCCTTGGTTCGCGTCGCCATGCAGTCGCCTGTGATTAACCCGGCGTGTCGAGCGTCGCGACTTGATGGTCTTGGCCCCGTCATCAACGACTGTACAAAAAAAGCCCACCAGGTTAAATTTGGTTTTGCATTTAACTTGGATGAATTCCAGCTCTGAGAATTAAATATCGGTTTGACTGACATGCAACAATGATTGTGCTCATGCAGTGCTTCACTCTAATGTGTAGGCCAGATGTCACCTGAAGGGATCTCAGAGGTAGCTTTGTAAAATCTGTTCCCATCGGTCACTCTAAGACAACGGGATGCACTGCTCTATTAATGATCCGAATGCGTACTTTGTCTCATGACATGACACAGAGCACAGTTGGGATACAAATTGGGATGCTCTATTTTTATTTGTCAATTAAATGTAAATTTTCTTTGAGCCAAAGATTAAAAAATATCCTTTTCACTGTACTTTTTGCAATTTCTATCTGTGCGCTGAACCATTCAGGGTCTGATTAAATGCTTGTGCAGAGTAACAAATGTTGCCAATCCCAACTGTAATACTTACCCGAGTGCTAACGATGAGACCACAGTATATTGGGCATCTCACCCCAATATGGCTAAATATCGCACAAAACTACACAGCGGACGTTCACAGGCCGTGGAGGGGGGCTCGCCAACTTAACTCCACCGCTCGGACAAAGAAATGCGAACGCACCTGCGTTCCCACGTGCTGCACCAAGTCGTACTCCAAGTGCGGCAGCCCAAGCGCAGACGCCCGCGACGAGTGCGGTTCCTGCATCGGCGGCACGGCGCCCGCGGCCGCCCCCTCCTGCGCCAGGCGGCCGTGCGGCCGACAGGAGAGCAGACCGCCGGCCGCCGCTGCTGCCGCGGCGCCGGCCGCAGGGTGTCCGGCGGCCGGGTCGACGCACGCCGCCGCGCGGCTCGCCGCCGTCGCCCCGCCACCACTGCCGCCGCCCGTGGCGCCGATCCGGCCGCGGTTGCCGCCGTGGCACGAGTGCAGGTCGGGCATGGCCGGGTCGCTGTACTTGGCGGGCGTCGCGGCGCCGCTCTCCGCCGACGCGAGCGACACGTGCACGACACTGCTCGAGAAGTCGTAGAGGTCGGGGCAGCCCGACGGCTCCTGCTTGTCCTTGCCCTTTGCGGACGGCGCCGAGCTACGTTTCTTGCCCCGCTCGGGCTTGGCAGCCGGCGGTGCCGCCGCCGCCGCCGCCGCCGCCGCCGCGGCCGCCGAGCTGCTGCTGCTGCTGCTGCTGCACGAGGGCGCGGGTGGGCGGGCGTCGGGCCAGTCCATCTCCGACAGAGACATCCTGCTGAGCGTGGACGCTGCCATCGCAATGTCCGGCACCGACGGCTCGCTCACGCCACTCTCCGAACCCTGGTGGGCGGACCGCCCGGTGGCAACGCACGCACGCATACGCCGTGAAACACGGGACTGCAGCAAGCCCGCACTGCTGCCATCACCGCCCCCTTGTGTTCACCCCTCGTGTTGTTTTATGCGAGGATGTGTTATGTCGCAACAACAACTGATGTCCAGCCTGCATGATGCTGGCAATATCTGCACAATAATTTGATAAACAAAATGTGGGGGGGTTTTGTGTGAAGGTAAGATGCTTGAGGCAGAAGTAATACATTTTTGTTGCTGTCATTTTGTCTTACATTGCTCCATTTTTAACAACCAATCGAAATAAACGCTTCTGGCCTCCAAGTATAAGTGATAGGAATATCATAGCAAGATAGGGTACAAATCTGGGTTGGAATACAGGGACGTGCGGTCAGGGGAGGCAGGGGGCAGCAGAGCCTCACCTGTCATACTCTATGAAAATAGCTGTTACGAAAAGTAAAACAAAATAATAATTAAATTAAATAAATATTAAGATTTTTCCACTGATCTGTATTACAAATGTCATTTCTGTACGATTCCAATCATTTTTATCGGCAAAATCGCCAAATTTGCGGAGCTTCGCTGCAAATACAGGAAGAGACGAGAGGTGAGGCAGCGACGAGCTCAGCCTCCCCTCTGATTGCGCAACCCCTCAGTAACTGGATGGAGCGCGGGCAATAAGCGCGTGCCTGTTACTATCTCAGTATGTCACCAATGTAATGCTTGTAGACCCCTTCATTTCATGTCCTCGCCTTCCATACTCCAAGTAACTTATTTCACGTATGTGTATAAAGAAATTTAGGATCGCTGATCTCATCATGAAAACGCACCAGGGGAGGCAGCTATCACATCTGCCTCACTGAGGGGGGACGTGTCTAACACGCCCCCCCTCCGTGAGGCCACGCCTCCCCCCCTCAGTGTGAATCTGGCTCTGACACTAGCCAGTGCCTCCCCAGCCACTGACCTCACCGCACGTCACTGTTGCAATATAATATATAGCAGAGAGCAATGAAGACATTCAAGAGATGGACCGAGCACTTGTGAAGGATAGAGGAAGCAGGTTTACGAACATGGACAAAATAATGAACACCAAGAGTTTCGCGACCAAGCAAGGGAAACACACCGAGCCATATGGTTGCTTTCAGTAAGACAACGGTAAGGCCGGGCAGAAGGCAGCTCTAGAGAAGCATGATGGTATGAATGGCATGGGCCATATTGATCCCTTGATTGCTTTTTAATCAGGTGCAAGAACATTGCAATTAAGTATACACAGAACCCTACATGGACCGCAATAATTTTTTGGGACAATTTAACTGCAGGGCATTTTGAAATGTAAAAACTTGGCTTTTGACAATGGCACACAATGATTTAACTCAGGGGTCGGCAACGGGGCTGCATTCGGCTCTTTAAAGACTGCTTCGTGATGTCATTTATTACGGACCACCATCTCGCATTGAGATACATTGCGGCTTTTGCAAAATCGAGTTGTTTGACCGTATTCGAAAAAAAATACTCTTCTTGATATTTTGGTTTCCGACCCCTGGTCTAACTCAAATATACATGATTGCAAGATCGCTGACATTCACACTGCACAGCATACGGTACACTGCCACTTCACCACAGATATTACCGGAAGCTGAAATTTGAACCGTTGACTCAAGGCTTCGCGATTGAACGCGCTAATATCAAAATCACGAGACCGTAGTCGTGACAGTCAAGCGAGGCAAGTGTGCCGGGCCCACACCTCGGTGTCCACGCCGTCGTAGTAGCCGCCGCAGGAGACGCCGTCCGGGTAGGCCTGCTGCGACGCCCTCATCTTGCCGGCGCCGCCGTATGCGTGCGAGCGACTGCGGCCCCGCGAGCCGTGCACCGAGGGCGCCTGCGTGCCGCGCGATAGCGGCGGCTGGTACGGGGGCGGGGGCGGCGGGAAGGGCAGCCCCAGGCGCAGGCTCGAGAGCGCCAGCGCGTCAGCCACGTCGCCGGTGTACAGCGACTCGGAGCTGGGAGCGCTGCGGATCTGCCGCCTCGGTCCTTGCTGCTGCTGCTGCAGCGGCAGGATATACTGCGCGTGGATTGGCTGGTGGTGTCCGAACGCGCCCCACATGCTCTCGGGCTCGTCGAAGGCAGAGTCCGGGAAGTATTTGTATGGGTTCTGTCGAGAAAAAACATGGAATGCTTTTCTACATGGTAAAATGTTTGACTTAGAAAAAAAAAATTGGTAAACAATATAGAGCCGAGTGTTAATTGAAGTAGCACATTGCATTTTTACGTGGCAATTCTGTATTTTTGACATCTGGCACATGTGGCAATTGTTTTGATGAAAATGATCAGCGGTGATTTAAGAATTGTTTTCGAAAAGGAACATACGGGAAAAAAAATCACACTCTCTCTCTCATGCTGCACATTAGCTCCCAATAAAGTCACCTTGCTTAGTGCGACCCCATAGAACGCATTTCCACAAAATACAGCAAAAGAGAAAATGAGTAGAGAGAAAGTCACGCACAGCCTTGAGAAGTATGAATGTTAAACTTATTTCGCACAGTACGCAGCCAACCACGCTAATCAGAGAAGTGAGAAAGGTTGGGGAGAGGGGAGAGTGAGGTGGCTACCTGCAGGAGGTCGATGGCCGAGTCGGGCAAGCCGAACTCACGCAGCACACGCAGCTGCACGTGGCGATTGATGGCGGGGATGTCGCCACACGGGAGGGACAGCGCTTGCCGCACCACGGGCCCGGCTCGCGCTTCGGCCACGCGCCTCAGCATCTCCCGCACCACAGCTTGGGACGGCACTGCAGGAAACACACGCACAACACAGGCACACACAACACTCCTTTAATGGAATGTGCATGTGATAAGTACTCGCGCCACCGCTGGCAAAAATATATCCACTAGAGGGAGCCCCCCCTCTCGCAAAAAAAATTGCCCATTGTTTTAACTGCCACGACAGGATATCAACCTAGCTACCTGTAAATTTGCAGGTCCTGTGTGCTATCCATTACATCACGGCAACATCTCACCCCAATTTGGTTACATACGTCACTAGATTCCACGGTGAATGATGCTCACAGGGCGGGGGTTTGGCTCGCCCAACTTGCGTCCACCGCGATTTCACTCACCTGGCACCTGATTGTCGACAGCAGCCAGGAGACCAGAGGGGCTCGGCTGCCGTGGGCTGGCGTGGGCCATGGAGGCACGGGGCTGATGGTGGCCCATGCCCCCACCGTCCAGCATGTAGAGCGTGTCCGGCACGCTGGACACACGGGTCCAGCGCAGACGCTCCTTGTCCGTCTGCACATCCGTCATCTCCTCCAGCACCGCCTGAAGTGAGATGATGAAAACTCACATTCTGTACACAGCTTTCAGCGGTATGTTTTTGGGGTTGTACCAGGTGTTAATTCTATACAGTTACATGTGCCGAAACCTATGCAGTATTCAATGAATGTCCATCCAAAATGTGGCTGACGAGTTAATATTATGCCAGTGTCAGAATACGGTTTTGATTCTCAGATTCTGGGTGTGAATCTCAGGTGGTGACTTTAGGACACATTCAGACCTTCAAATGTGGTAGATGTCTGATGGCCTCAGACTTAATTAGAACTTGAATGACAAAAATGTTTTTAAATGTATACGTTTGCACTTGATATGCTTAAGACGAGTTATGGAGACGTTTAGCTTATACAACAATTCTATACAGCTAAATGACCCCTTGAATTCCACAAGGAAAGTTAGTTTTCGTATATATGTGGTAAGGGAAGGGTATTCCTTACAAATATTAATGTCTAGGTGGTAATAGAATGCATTATTCTGAGTTCAACTGGGATTTGATATAGTGAGGGAAAAAAGTATTTGATCCCCTCCTGATTTTGTACGTTTGCCCTCATTAAAATGCAAATCAATTTATAACATTTTTAACATGCGTTTTTCTGGATTTTTTTTAGTTATTCTGTCTCTCACTGTTCAAATAAAGCTACCATTAAAATTATAGACTGATCATTTCTTTGTCAGTGGGCAAACGTACTAGATCAGCAGGGGATCAAATACTTTTTTCCCTCACTGTACATGTATTTTGATTTAGCGTGCTGATCTTAAAGGTGCATTGAAAAATGTCATACTCCGACTGATGCTTCTGTTGTTGTGGAGTAACTCATGCAGCCAGCTATGGCTCTAGGATTGATGTAGTTTATTGTAAAAATTCGGTCACAGTCCCTATGATCACTGTTACGTTGCAATTATGGCTTTATTTTTTGGTGATTTCAAAGAAAAGTTTTTTGGTTTGGACATGTTTGTTTTGTTGTAGTACGGAGTTAGACTGATGGCCTTAGTCTAAGTTTTCTTGTGGTTGTTGTTGTTTGACTTGCATCCCACTGGGATTTTTTTGCACACAGCGTTGGTGTACGGTGCTTTTTTCAGGAATATTTTGCTGTTTTTTTTCATAGATTTTCTGTTTGCAGTCACATAGTCACTTTAAGATGTTTTCTTGTTCATGTTTTTGTTTTTTGTTTGTTGTGGTTTCACCCGATTCAAGAGCCGAATGGCTCACAGGGCTATACCAAAAATAAATAAACTGAAACAGTTACATTACAGGCTTTCAATTTAGCTTCACCGAATTATTGCCTTTTAAAAAATTTACTCCGAAAATGTGGGAATTGATTGTCACGACCTCATGTTGTTAAGAAGCCTACTGTTATGTAATGTGCTTTTCCGCCACCCACCATACCTACCCACTGGCCTGGGGCCAATTATAACTACAAAAGCATTGTCAAATGAAATTACAATTACATTGTGGTTTCATTTCATTACGAAGTACACAATTACAATTGTAATTTACTCCACCTCTGATTCAAACATTGTGGAGAGGCACTTGCTTTAATTTATTCTATGCCCTTCAAACTAACAACATTTTCAAGTAAACCATAAACATGTTCCAGTATTATGTGTCCAAATTCTTTTCCAATTAAACAAAATAAACTAAATAGGACCTACGCAGTATATCTTAAAACCTGCTGAATTTAAAATCCCATTTAAGTATATTTATAGCCACTAAATAAGAATGTATAGTAGCTAATTTGAGCTAATTGTAAATGTCGTGATGTTTTTCAAAATGATTCTTAGCAAGCCCAATCACTACTTAATTAAAAAGACTAGCAAGCACTAATATTGAATATGATCCTCACAATAGTTGATTACATTCATGCACTTAATACTGAACATTTACTTCAGCTAATATCCTACTATAGTTTACTGACATTTCTCAAGTGGCCAAATTATAAACACTGCGCAGTGGATTAGATGCGTCAGAAACTCGCTCACCTTGCTTCGCTTTACAAACACCTGTCTCTTTCGATAAGTGTAAGATGCAGCACAAATGTGACAGATTAGGAACAAGAATGTGAATTTTTCACTGAGCTTGAAATCTATACAAGCCAAGAGCCAAAACATAAATTTCCAGTTCAATCAAAGTAATTTAATTGTGCCATCTCATGCACGATTCTTGTCGCTTGGGGGGAACAGGAATCACCTTGGCCTCCTCCACGTACGGAGTGAAGAGACGCGGTTTGACGGCGATGCCCCCACCCCGACCTCTCATCCACGCGTTCCCTTTCCTCTCGTCCATGGAGGGCAGCATGTCCGACGGTGGCCGGCTGATGAGCCCACGCTTCAGCTGCCTCGGTGAAAAGGTTTACTTCAACAGGATGGTCTTGGGAGTACAGTTATGGAGCTTATTACACGAACAAAAGACATCGGCTACTTGTTCAAATTTAAGTCGTCGGTGGCGAATGTGCAGCTGACTGGAACAAGCATCGTTGCAGCACATTAGTTGCGTGTCTGTGTTATGCAGTTTGGAGCTGACAGCGTTCTGACATCCAGGTTATTGGAAGACGGTCCAAATGACCCGAGCCATATAATGTGTGACAGGTCAACTACATCTTTAAGCGGTCAGTGGCAGGGGACTCCTCCAGTGGCACCGGTCCCAATGCGGCTCAAGGTGAACATAGCACCAGCCAGGAAGTGGAGATTTATCTGCCAATCAGTGGAGACTTTGCCATGTGGCTTCTCAAAGTAAACAATTTGAAAGTAACCAATCAAATGTGGACAATGATGCTGGCACACGTCCTGCTTTTTTTTCAAACACTGTCACAGGGTTTTTGAATAGTAAAATAGTTTAAAGTCCACTGTTAACAGGAAGCACATATATTATGGTTAATACATCTGCAGTATGGCCACTGGGACTGGGCTCGAACTGTGAAACTATGCAACAAGGAGGTGGTGTCGCACATTCACCACTTGTTAAAGAGGTTCGCGGTTTGAAGACAGCCGGGCGGCCATGGTGAATACGTACCGCCTGCTTCACAGTAGATAGAACCTATGACGTCATTCAAAACGAATAAGCCATTGCATGCTAGCGTCATGGCCCGAATTGGCCTAATTACCTGCAAATTACTCGATATGGATTACGCGTAGACAACATCTCCCCCCTACTGTCAAACAACTGCAGACTGTCCGCAAAACATAACGGCTACGTGATAGCTTCACGCCATAATAATGCAGCAATTACTAAACATATAAATTGATTATGGTTGTTATTATTATTATTATTAAGCATAAAACGCGCTCCCGCTGTCACCACCCACGCCAGTAAGGTGCAGTAGAGGCTGGAACACACGTACTCACCGCGCCACCCAGTACGTCGCAGTTCGGTGGGAGCATGAGGTCGACGCGCACGTGAGGCAGCAGCGGAGAGAGAATGTCACGCAGCTCCTCAGAGTCCAGGTCCTTTCGCTTGACCCCCTTCTTGCTCACGCTGTGCGCCGTACTGCTCACAACGTTCGGCTCTGTGTGCACACAAATGAACATTGAAACTAACCTATGCTAAATTATGTTATATTTTACTCGACAAGACCCTCCGAATATAAAGCTCTTTTTCAGTAGTGACCCGGCTATCACAATTGATAGCCCAATGAAGTGTCTTATGTGGACATTTATAGCAGCCAAATACTCTAAACGCATGTTGATTCTAAATGTGGAGGGGAAAAACCAGAGGACCCAGAGAAAAATCCACATGACCACAGGGAGAGAGACGTGCAAACGCCAAATATCTAAGCATCAGCATCAGGATCGAACCCACGTCCTCCTGTATACCAGTCGAGGCAGTTAATATCTGACCACCACGGTCAGATATTTGGTTTATATTTACCATTGGTTTCCAGTCCGCCCCTAATTTAAGACCCCATCAGATTCAATACAAACCCTGACTTTTCTAACCGTCTTTAAATGTAAACAAATTTTTTTGTACAATTATGGCTTCTTTGATATACATTGAAAGACATTCGATCTTGAGTCAATATTATATGGTAAAATAACGTGCGTTTTGTATACCACGCCGTTTCGGATTAAACTCTTTTGACAAAACTCACCTCGATCTTCCATCCTCTTAATCAGCTGGTGCTCCCCCCACTTGATGACAGCCTTCAACACGTCCTGCTCACATGCCTACAGCGACATCAACACAGGGCAACAAAAATACAGCCACTCAGCAATCAGGAGTAAAAACTTTAACTGCATTTCTTATTTTTTTTTTATTTAAAGCTTTCCTGACTTATTCTCATGATATGAAGCTAACCGAACAGTTTGCATATAATTGGAAGGACCAAGAAAAAATCAAGAAAAAGTGCTTAAATGTCATTCTGAATGGCTTATAGTAAGTGTCAAATTTGATTGACTAGCAGTGGTTGTGCCATTTAACTATGGTAGGAAATGTGCTGTGGCGATTGCAAATGCACTACCCATCATAAACGTGGTATAGCAATGCAATATAACTCGCAATTAAGAAACACCTGCATGAGACCACGTCTCAAGCCAGGACGCAAAAAAGGCTACACACAACTTGGGAGATTGCGAAATAGGAGGGAGTGTTTTTATTTCAGACATTAAGCACAGCAGCAAATAAGGAGCAACCTCTTAGCATGCTATGGTTGAAATGCTCTTCTTAACAAAAGGCCTCGGTTACTGGCGCACAGGGTAAGTGGGGCAGATTAGGAAAGGCAAATGAGGGGGGGGTTAATGCAAAAATGAATTCATTGCTTGGGCCAAGTCCACAGCACCATGTTATAAGGCAGTTACTGGAGCTATGCACTTTTAAATCTAGATTTAAATCTCATTTATTTAGAACTGCTTTTTGTATTTAATTTGTTGTCCTTCCCCGCGCACCTCCTATTATCACGGTTGGCTACGTACGGTGCGAAAGTTCAACATACATACGTACATAAAAGACACGTGTGCTGTAACATCACCCATCAACCACTTTGCGATGTGAGATTTAAAAAAAATTGCCAAAAGTTATGAAACAAACATATTGGTCCTAAACCATGATTACATTAAATTTTCTTCAGACATTGTTCATAAAACACCACATGTACACTTAACACACTGAGCACATCCGTGCCTGTTCTCGTGCACAGCACAGGTGAACACTACCACAGACGACCACAGGAGCAGACTCAGGCTGAGCCTGGGAGTGTGAAGTAAGAGGTGGAGGGGGAGTGGGAGGGGAGACACGGCCATGCAGTTCAAAGATGGGACTCGGCATGAGCATGGTCTGGGCCTGCTTACAACCGGTTGTAGAATTACAGCATTACCTACGGATGCATTGGTGTAGTCACTGCTGACCTGGCAGAGCCCATAATATTCTGCATATTGGATTAAAACTTAGGAAATCAAGGACAATTTACTGCTGTTGAATATAAACATTCCCATGAGCCACACGCAGATGCTCGCAGGGGGCATTTAATTTTCCAGCCACACAAAATATTCCCAGTCGACTGCTGATGAACGAGGCGCAGACGTACCTGCAGAAAGTCGGACTGCAGGGCGCTAAGCAGGTAGTCCTGGCTGAGGTCACACAACATGGGCGAGGCGGCGACACGGCCAAACTCCTCGCACAGGTAATGCAGGGCGCGCCGGTGAACCCAGGGTGAGCCGTGTGGCTGGGCACTCCAGCCCAGGATTGGGATGAGCACCTCCAGACTCAGACTGTCAGCGATGATGTCCTCGCAGCCTGAAAATAAGTTGAGGGAGTGGGGGGAGGTGGAGCATCGGAGTGCAGTTGAGTTAGCAAGAGTACATTTCATTAAAGAACAGAGACCATGGCCTGATTTTAAAAGTGTACGTTTTGGCCTCAAATTCATTCGTGTTTTCATAGTTTCAATGGCACCACGGGCATCTTTCATCTCCTTTGCCTGTAATACTGCACCACTAATTGAGGTACCACATTTATTGTGCAGAAAACTGTACTAAAAAAGGGTTCCAAAAAATGTGGCTAAGCTGATTTTCCTCTGTTCCAGCAAGGGAGTACTTGGATTTTCTGTACAATGGGCTCCATAAAGAAAAGTAACTGATTTGTAGGTCAGAGGAAGTGGCATCACGCCAGTGCTATGCATTGTGTTCCCTTAACGTGCATACAAAATTACATATACGTGTGCCACATCTATGTTCATACATTGTTTGTCGCCAAAAAGTTACCCTAATGTTTTATTACAGGTTTATAGATGCATTTGTATTAATGTTTCCAATCTGGATTGCATATAGAAATGAGATTACAGACATGAGAAGTCACAGCACGTACACACATTAAAATGGAACTTTTGTTCAGAGAGACAGATCTAGGCACCTTTAGGAATATTATGATAAAATATCAATGCTCAAAATGTACAAAGCCAATTTCAAGTGCAGGATAGCAAAAGGGAAAAGAGGAAATGAAACTCATTGGGGTTTCACATCATTAAAATGAAGGACAAAGCATATGAAGTTATGAGCTCACTTGACAGAATTGTTGCAGATTCCACATTATCCTATAATTGCTCGATTAACCCACACTATTTCAATTTACACAACACGTCATGTTTACAGCACAAGTACAGTGAGGGAAAAAAGTATTTGATCCCCTGCTGATTTTGTACGTTTGCCCACTGACAAAAAAATGATCAGTCTATAATTTTAATGGTAGGTTTATTTGAACAGTGAGAGACAGAATAACAACAAAAAAATCCAGAAAAACGCATGCCAAAATTTGTATGAATTGATTTGCATTTTAATGAGGGAAATAAGTATTTGACCCCTCTGCAAAACATGACTTAGTACTTGGTGGCAAAACCCTTGTTGGCAATCACATAGGTCAGACGTTTTTTGTAGTTGGCCACCAGGTTTGCACACGTCTCAGGAAGGATTTTGTCCCACTCCTCTTTGCAGATCTTCTCCAAGTCATTAAGGTTTCGAGGCTGACGTTTGGCAACTCGAACCTTCAGCTCCCTCCACAGATTTTCTATGGGAATAAGGTCTGGAGACTGGCTAGGCCACTCCAGGACCTTAATGTGCTTCTTCTTGAGCCACTCCTTTGTTGCCTTGGCCATGTGTTTTGGGTCATTGTCATGCTAGAATACCCATCCACGACCCATTTTCAATGCCCTGGCCGAGGGAAGGAGGTTCTCACCCAAGATTTGACGATACATGGCCCGTCCATCGTCCCTTTGATGCGGTGAAGTTGTCCTGTCCCCTTAGCAGAAAAACACCCCCAAAGCATGTTTCCACCTCCATGTTTGACGGTGGGGATGGTGTTCTTGGGGTCATAGGCAGCATTCCTCCTCCTCCAAACACGGCGAGTTGAGTTGATGCCAAAGAGCTCCATTTTGGTCTCATCTGACCACAACACTTTCACCCAGTTGTCCTCTGAATCATTCAGATGTTCATTGGCAAACTTCAGACGGGCATGTATATGTGCTTTCTTGAGCAGGGGGACCTTGCGGGCGCTGCAGGATTTCAGCCCTTCACAGCGTAGTGTGTTACCAATTGTTTTCTTGGTGACTATGGTCCCAGCTGCCTTGAGATCATTGACAAGATCCTCCCGTGTAGTTCTGGGCTGATTCCTCACTGTTCTCATGATCATTGCAACTCCACGAGGTGAGATCTTGCATAGAGCCCCAGGCCGAGCGAGATTGACAGTTCTTTTGTGTTTCTTCCATTTGCGAATAATCGCTCCAACTGTTGTCACCTTCTCACCAAGCTGCTTGGCAATGGTCTTGTAGCCCATTCCAGCCTTGTGTAGGTCTACAATCTTGTCCCTGACATCCTTGGAGAGCTCTTTGGTCTTGGCCATGGTGGAGAGTTTGGAATCTGATTGATTGATTCTGTGGACAAGTGCCTTATATAAAGGTAACAAGCTAAAGCTAAAAAATTAGGAGCACTCCCTGTAAGAGTGTGCTCCTAATCTCAGCTCGTTATCTGTATAAAAGACACCTGGGAGCCAGAAATCTATCTGATTGAGAGGGGGTCAAATACTTATTTCCCTCATTAAAATGCAAATCAATTTACAACATTTTTGACATGCGTTTTTCTGGATTTTTGTGTTGTTATTCTGTCTCTCATTGTTCAAATAAATTCTAGACTGATCATTTCTTTGTCAGTGGGCAAACGTACAACATCATCAGGGGATCAAATACTTTTTTCCCTCACTGTAGTGTCATAAAGACAAATTACTGAAAACAAACAGGAAACCTTTCCAGGATGACAGCTGCAACATAAAACAAATGGCTTTGTTTTTCTGTGTCGCTAGCAAACGTACATCGCTGGTAATTCAAAAGCAGTCGAGGGGAAAAGAGATGATAATTGAACACAAAGAGGATGAACCTAAAGGGAAAATGCAGTTAGGACGATTGCCAAATTCTCAGCAAATTAATTACTTGTTTTCACCAAGAGACTAAAGTGTTGTCAGTTAAATTAAATTTGCTATCAGGATTTGAATGGCTTAATTCCAAACAGGGGAAAGGAGTGGTGAAGCAGTGGTTCGCGTACTGCGCTATGAACCCCACATCCTTAGTTTAACTCCCAGACCCATGGCTAACACCCTAGTAGAGTGACATCTGACCTGGACTTATTCTTCATCAGGCTATACTGTATAGCAAGACAATCGTGGAGCGGTCTTCATCCAGCAGAAGATTGACAAAGAGCTGTAGTCTTCATTATTCCAAGGATACATATTTGAGAGTTTATATTTTTATGCTATCAATGTATTTCATGCATTCAACAGGTTTCCTTTCCCAAAATGGATCAAATTTAAAAGTAAATTGTAGGGCAACCATTACTTTTAATTTACTTAATGCATTTTCTTCTTAATTAGTTCATTTATTTATATGTGGGCCATGCCCACACATTTTCAAAGCCTTCACATAGATCACACTATTTATTACAACCAGAAACATTTTCAGTCCAATTTGACCTAGGAAAAAGAGACCAATTTCTCTCAGACCAGGTTGCTGGCATGTGTTCAAGTAGCCACGACGGAATGTGGGAGTGCAGGGCACTTTGAGTTTCAGCTGTGCTCAAATACAACGCCCGTGGGAACTGCCACTGTGATTACAGTAAATTACCACCAAAAAGTACAAACAATGACCCTCATACAAACTAATAAGAGACCTCGTTTCGGCAACTGGCGAGGCACAGACCTCTCCATTGTGGCCGACATAAACCCTCTTAGCTCACAAGTCTCTCTTGCGAAGACAATAATGAGACGGGACTTTCTCATCGGCGTTTGCAATTTGCTCATAAGTGTCTCTTTATCCGAGCCGTCTTCACAAGGCAACCTTTGGTTGTTTAGTGCATCGACCTCCGAGAACTGTCTGGTTTGAGGCTGCGGGCAATGCCGCCTAAGACCATTAGCAATTATTTTCTCTTGCCAGTTGAAGAGTCCCTTGAGTGTATCATTAGGCCTCAGTCAACCACGTACAGAACACAGACACATTTCTGTAAATGCATCTTTTTGTTTTGGATTTCCAAAACGTGCAGCATCAAGGGGGCAATCATATTGTTTTACTTTTAGATTTTTTGATTATTTGTTTCAGCAGCAAAGACCCAATAAGCTGCTGGGCTCCATGTCAAGGGTGTTCAGTGATGGTACAGATGTTACACAGTACAGATTTTCGCTAGAACCATCTTAGTTACTTACTTGAATGTTAATAATTGAGCTGTTTACAATGCTATAACATATTATGAAATAAGTCAATGAATTATTAGACCTCCTTTGCCAGTACCAAAATGTAATAATAATAGGGTTTTTCCCCTTTTTTCTGGCAACAAAACTGAAATCTTTTTACAAGGATTTATGTCTGCATTAACCACAATACCTGCAGTCAAAATGCAAACAAAAAACATACTATGATAATATATGCATTGTCCTTGAAACTGATTGGTCCACACCAAGGACAATGCATATATTATCATAGTATGTTTTGTTTGCATTTTGACTGCAGGTATTGTGGTTAATGCAGACATGAATCCTTGTAAAAAGGTTTCAGTTTTGTTGCCAGAAAAAAGGGGAAAAACCCTATTATTAAGTCAATGAATCTCCATGTTCATGCAACAATGGGGAAATGCCCATCAACTTTGGTGACTGAGCCAGTGGTGTAAACTCCACATTGCTATAGCAGGACCTCATCTATTCATGGAACAAGCAATGTTGACTTCCCTCTTGGCTGATATCATAGTGCACATACATGCACAGACACATACACACCGACATTAATTAATGACTTTTTAAAGTAGGATATTAGAGCAGAATGTCTAGGCCCAGACATGTCAACGTTTAAAAGCCTCAGAATTATAAGATTATTAAGACAGTAGTACAACAGGCCCTTCCATGCCTGTCAGCATAACAGCCTTGTAATTTCTTGAAGGTACAAACTGCCAGACAGATAATGAACACCATGTAATTGGCTGCTTCAAACGAGCTGTAGGGGACTTTCTAATCAAAGGCCAAATTCACTAAAGGTCATTCGGCATAACGTTTGTCTGTTTAATATTTCAGTTGTCTATGTAATTAATTAACCACTGTTATTAATGGCCACCGACAAAAATCAGAACTGTACACAAGTCCAGCCACTATTTTCTCTTCCTTATTGATACTAACCTCACCACTACAATAGGTGTCCAGTTTAAAATGTGTTGACATAAGGTAAACCAAGAGCAAGTACAATGGCGAAGTGCCACTAGAGTTCAGAGGTCAAGTCG